GACTTGGAAAAAAGTCTGGTTCCATTGACTTACATTAAAAGTGAAGCATGTTTTTCCTTCTCCTGTAAAACTGTCATTTTGGAGATGCAAGGTTTTGTTCTGACTACAGCGTAAGGCTTATTATTCAGCAACTAAAGAGACTTCAGTGCAAACTTGCTGAACTATTCTTAGGTTATCAGAGTGTGTCATAAAACTTTGGCCATGTAAGGGGTTAATAGTCATGTTTGTCAAACTTTTTCTCGAAAAAAGCCATCTCTAAAATGTCTGCGCAGTGTTTAGACACTTTCACTCATTTATTACATAGTGGAACGACACGTCATCCATTCATTTTCAAAAGAGTGGACCAACTGCCAGTTTCTATTTCATCAGACTATTACAAAGTAAGAAGTAGGAAGTACAGCTGAGAGCTGTCAATGAAGTCTATTAAGGGTCACGTTGATTCCAAAAGGTGCTCTCAGATCAGCTCAAAGCAGCTCAGATTCTTTGTGAATACCAGTTGTCAGGCCCATCTTACACAAAGAGGAACTGACAATTCTAAGATCAGGTTGCACACTTGCAGACCAAACATGGGCCATACAATCCCTTCATGTTGAGGTTTAGAATTGCCGCTTTCAACCACTTCATCCACATCCTATCTTTGATCACCACCTGTAGTTAAAATAAACTCCTACAAGACCTCTGAAGGTGCTCTGTGGTATCTGAAGACTTTAACAGCAGATCCTTTAATTCTTACAAGTTACGAGGTGGAGCCACCATGGATCGGACTTATGGTTCAAATACATCCCACAGATGCTCGGTTGGCTTGAGATCTAGGGAATTTGGAGACCAGGGCAACACCTTTAAATCTTCAGCATGTTCTTAAAACCATTCCTTGTGCAGTGTGAGCAGTGTGGCAGGACGCATGTGCCAAACTGATGTTCACATGAATCCAGGGTTTTCCAGCAGAACGTCTTCTTCCCATAGCGCATCCTTTTTCCATCACTTCCCCAGGTAAAAGGCTCACACATACCCAGCCGTTCACATAATGTAAAAGATATCAGGACTCATCAGATCAGGTGACCTTCTACAATCCCTCCAAGGTCCGTGCCCATTGTAGCCATTTTCAACAGTGGACAGGGGTCAGCATGGGCACTCTGACAGGTCTGCAGCTATGCAGCCACATACGCAGAAGGGTGTAATGCACAATGTGTTGCAACACATTCTACTAGCAACCATCATTAAAAATTTCTGTGACATGTGCCACAGTAGCCCTTTGTTGGCTCTGACCAGACAGGATACTGTCCTTCACTGTCCTGTTGGGTGCCCAACACTCTGTCACCAGCTCATTGATTATCACTCCTCGGACCACTGTTCCAGTGCTGACCAGGAGAACCCCACAAGCGTTGCCATTTCAGAGATTTTCTGACCCAGTCGTCTAGCCATAATGATTTGGCCCTCGTTAAAGTGGCTCAGGTCTTAAGATCTGCCCATTTTTCCCACATCCAACACATCAACTATGCAAACCGACTGTTCACTTACTGTCTAATACATCACAGATCTTGACACGCTCCACTGTTAGATAATCAATGTTATTCGCTTCATAGGTGAGTGGTCATAATGTTTTGGCTCATTGGTGCATATATATGATATAATATCTAACTTAATCCTTAGTAATATATATGTATATGTTACTACTTTGCTATTTATTTAAATGTAATGTACAATTATTTAAATGTAATTCTATAATCACACAGTTAATGTTAGTTTAAAAAAAATAATTCTTTTTCTTTCTACCAAACAAGATTGTACACAACAACTAAAGGGCTTATATCATGGACACTTTATTCACTTTTTTAATGAATACAACTTAATATAGTATGCAAACGTACTGTTCACACTCCAGTCCATACAGTCCACATACAGAAACTAACCAGCAAAAACAGCCCATTTTCAATTAATTTGTTTTGTGAATTCACAAAAACTAATTAAACCTATTCATACATCCCTTCTGTCCTAAATGTTCTTGTCTCTAAATCTAATCAGATAAAAAACCTTGTCATTCCACAATTTCCCATGTCTCAGTGGACAGCCTGTTTCTTCTACTCTAATAGCCACTCTGTCTTTCTTTCCCTTTCTCTCTCTGCCCCTATATCTCTCTCTCTCTCTCTCTTGCTCTCTCTGTACAGGTCCAGCACACACTGCAATGGGACACTGCCTCTCATCTACATTAAATATGCGAATTAGATCTTGAGAAAACCCACTTTTTTTCAGAACATGGCACAAACGAAGCCCTCTACGCACAGCTGGCCTAGTTATCTCTGAAACTTGGGTGAGAAGGCTTATGTTTCGCATAAAACACAAGGCATCCAAGAAATAGGGTCAGAATAGCACTCAGGTCCACAAATCACCATAAGTACAGTCATATCCAAAGGTTTGGGTATCCTGCTGTACTGTCATTAGTTTGTTGTCTGATCACAGAGATACAGTCACTTTTTTCTGTTTTTTTCCTTTTGCAACAAACAGTATAGTGAGTGTACTTTTATCCCCACTCATAACCATCAAAAAGAGTCTGCTTAGTGCACAAGCACCACAATAAATGACTAGCAGTGAGTGCTATGCCTCCATTAGAATTAGTAGCTTTTCTGACAAACCCTGCCAGTCTCTTCAAATCCACATTACGTTGCGCTTAGCACTAAGGAACGTCAATCAAGACAGTCGATACAAAAGCAGTGTAATCTCTCTTCGCTCTTGTGTGGTCTGTTCAGTGTCTCGGCAGCCCCAAACGGGGTTACGAGTGATAGTCTCCTGTCTTATTATAGCTTTTACTTGACAGGGCTAAACAAAGATCAGACAAAAGATCCAGGACATCTTCTAGCAGACGTTTCAAGGCACAGCTACTGCTAGGTTAGCAACAACAAAGAAAACTGACTGGTTGATTGACTGGCTGATTTATGTAGAGTCTTGCCATGAGAAGTCTTTGAGCTGATAGATGAGCTGGTAACTTGCTTACATACTGAATGGATTGTGGATTAACGGAGGCAAAGTTGTTCCAATAAAGATAAGGTGCGTTTGAGATATTTGTATGGTTAGATTTCTGGAAAGTATCCAGTGCCTGGATACATTTTGACATATATTCATGCCGTTCATCCCTATTGAACCCTATATGAATACATTTTTTTTGATAATGAATACTCGTTTGATTTTTGTTTTCAATAATGTGATTACGCTGTTCTGTTCTTCAATCTGATATTAGCAACAAGCAATTCATACTGGAGTACAAATGCAATACAGTAGGTGGCGCTGTGCACCTTTTACAGGGCAGGAGAAGAAATCTAGCTATTCGCTTGCAACTTCACACAAACCAGCAGGAGACAGTTAACAGAGTTAATAAGTCATATATAGTTTTATTCATGGTAAAAACATTATTCAGACACTAAGTCCCGTGCGTCAAACTCAAGGCCCGCAGGCCTGATCTGACACAATCCCATCCGGCCCACAAAAGTATTTTAATTTTCTAATAATATAGCTCGTTTTACAATGCGCTGCACTACAGTCCCCAGCATGCACTGCAACGTAATGTGCGCTCAAACACTCCAATGACAATCTGTCTGACAGCGGTTACACCTCAGTTCTACACAATTCTGCTCAATTTCACAGCAGCTGCAGTTCACCCAATATAAACACTTAACTTTAGCTCAGCAGCTCGGAAATTCAAGCAATTAGGTAGGTTTAAAAGGCCGAGGTCCTGGGGACATTTAAATTTTGAACATTTCAAGTGTCCATGTAATATTTCAAGGTCTATTACAAGTGTCTATATTTTACTGCTGAGGTTTAATAAACAATGGCCATTTTGGTTTATAACACAACATCAATTAAAAATGAAGTAAAAACTTTTTTTCTCTGGCCCACAGATTTGATGAAATTTTTTAATATGGCGCCTTTACTGGTTGAGTTTTATACCCCTACACTAAGTATTGAAAAGTGTATATAATTTCAAGCCCTAAGGTTCTTGTACATCAAAACAAAGATATCTGAAGAGCAAACGGCTTAGGCATCGTGATTCAATTTCTTGATCAGTGGATTTCATGCCTGAAAGCATTCCTGGGTCAAACACTTATTGACTGCTTCACAGCGGTGAGTAATTAACTTAGTGTAGGTAAGTGGGGTCAGAATGTCAGCCTGTGTCATTTTTTGCAATTCCTGTCAGTTTGAGTCTGTACTTATCTGGAGCATTCACGAATGCATATATACACAATATGTCCAAATCTATCCAGGCACCTTCTATTTAGTAAATTCAGTTCATTTAAGGTGCACCTACCACTGACAAAGGTATTCAATCGCGCACACACAGCTTGTATAATCTCCATAGAAAAGACTTAACCAATAGACTGGGACGCTCTGGAGCAGTAGCACATGAGCCTAAGGTCAACATGCCCAAAGCCAAGTGTGGGGAAGAGGGGTATAGAGCCCCCCAACATTGGCCTGTGCGTCTCTGCAGTGATGGAGCTCCATCCAGTACCTTTGGGATGAGTTGGAGTGATCCAGAACTGATCATCCAGCATCAGTAACTGACCTCACTAATGCTCTTATGGCTGAATGCAATCAAATCCTCGCAGCAATGTTCCAACATCTAGTGTAAAGCCTTCCCAGGCTTTACATGAAGAGGCTGTTACTGTGGCAAACGAGGACAAACTTCCAATTATTTCCCTTCATTTCAGAAGAAATGCTGGATGAGCAGGGGTCTACAATCTTTGGACATGTAGTGTAGATGTATTTACAAATGCTTGTGCAAATAACACAGTATCAGCCCTGTAATCGTTTACATACATATTCATATGTTCTTATAAGGCTTGGAAGGTGCATAGTTTGTTCACTGGTGTACATAGGTTTCCTTTACTTCCTGCTAAAGTGCAAAACTAAAGAAGCAAACTTGGGACACCAAATATGACTTTAAAGAGAAACAAAATCGATTCACTCTTCCCAAAACAGTAGGCAACCAGAGTACTGAAATGTGGACTTACTGAACGCTGCCACTGCCAGGATAAGCGTCACCACAATGGAAATCCACGACACCCACAGGGCCTTCTTCCTGTAGCTTTGAGCTTCATGTGGTTTCAGACGCATACTGCTCTCTAACAGACCTATCAGAAGAACAATAACAACACAGCTTTAAAGACCACTGATATCAATCAGCCTTCTTAACTGGAGCCAATGACAAGGGCTTATTAGAAATCTGCTGGTGTATGACCGCATCAAGCCCAGTGAGGCAGGGCTATTACTAAGTGTACTGCGAGCTGAACGCCCGGAGGGAGAGAAAGTGAGACGGGTTGCCAGGAGCTAAATGGGCCTGTTAAATTAGCTGAATCGAATGGTCTCCTACAAGATTTAGGGTTTGCTAATTTGTTGTTTTGCCTGTAATAAAAGGGAAATTAGTTCTGCTTGTGAGCCAGGTGCTGTAAGTCACAGGAGATGCGACTTGTTAGCCGAGTTCCTGTTCTGGTGCCAGCTCAGGGGAGAGAAAGAGAGAAAAGAAGACAAAGACAGAACTTAATAAAACTATATTGGTGGTCCACTGCAAGTTTAATGCTTTGTAGATTTTCACCTTGTCTTTAAATAACATGCAATCAAATATCTACACTGTAAATAATTTCACTGTAAAATTACAGTGAATTACTGGCTACTACTACTAACTTACTGTAAATAGCACTAAAATAGCAGCTATATACTGTGACTTCAGTCACCTGCACCACAAGATTACTGTGATGTAGCCGCATTCGGCTGTACACTTACAGTAATAAGCTGCAATTAAAGTACAGTAATGTCCTGTATTTTTACACAACAACTGTAAAAGTAATGCAACTCAGTAACTGTAAATTAACATATGGAATTATTTACTTTTAATTTATCTGACCTATAAATATGTTTAAATATATATATAAATATGTATTAATTAACATATTTATTCACCATGTTTTACACTGTAAATGCACAAAATATATTGTTGCTGTCCAAAGAAAAACAAGTATCTCCACAATAGTAACTTTATAGGAAAGGACAAAAACACTCTTACCTTTCAGTGTAAGAGATTTTATTCCAAGTGATTTTAGAGCATTTCTGTTGGTCCATTTATCATGAATTTTTCACAAAATGTAAAGAACATCTGGTGTGTTAATATGATGTAGAAAAATTAAAATTGACAAAAACGGAGATACATGGTTTTCTTTGGACAGCGACGATTTGCAATATAACCAAAAAAATGCAAACACATTTTAACTTTGTTTAAAAGTTAAACATAGCCAAAATAGGCTTCAAGCTCTAAAACAAAAAAGATCCAGTTTAAAAAACCATAAAATGTTTTTATTAAATTGTTTATGCCATTTTACCTTTACAGTTGCTCTCTGTTTACTCTCATATGCCATTATGCTGTGCAGCAATATTAACCTCACAGTAATTTGCCATGTTACTGCAGAAAATATGTGAGTTGATTTCACACTAAAATGATGACTATAGTATTTTTCTGTGTCCAAATTCAGTGTCAAATCCTGGCAATAACTAACAGTGTCTCCTTTTCCTGACCATAAAGCTAACACACAGTCTAACCCTCACCTTAACCTCAAACAGTGTTAATACAGTGTTAATACTCAACTGAGCATCACTACTTGATTTGAGTACGTGAGCATTTGTAGATAGGCCACTGGGGACCACCAGTACAAGTGTTCCAAGAATTATCTTTAGTTTAAAGGAAATAAAAGGACTTACAGCAGGCTTATTCAAGAACGTTCCTTGTATTAAGTATGTTCCGAGTCAGTCCAGCACATGGAGAGGCTTCCTAGATATGCAGAGGCCAAGTCTGAGATTTGTGACGATCTATGGCATTTCACAGTCTGCTGTAACTTCGCGAATGGCACTTTTGTCAGGCAACGTGAAGCTCCCAATGATACTTTAAATACAGAACAGCCAACTCTGTGTTTCTCACCATGGGGACAATTTGAGGGGGATGTGATCCAGTAAGCTGTTGAACAATGTAACCAGTACTCCACTGAGTCCATAAGAACCAGTTGACTAGCCATTGTCTGTTGTCCATGCTAAGCCTACATAGCCTCGTCTTTGTTCAGGCTTTATTTTTCTCCTCCATTGGCGTACTGAAGTGCCCTGGTAAGCGTGCAGCAGTCACATGCTAATGTGGAGTAGTAGTCTACCACTGTGTGCAAGAATTAGAGAAAGGCCCCTCCATCCTCCCACCCCCCAAGTCACATGACCCAACTATTTGATTAGTACACACACGTGCACATATACTAGGTCCATCAGGCATGGGTCATTCTACCACTGTGGTATGGTATGTAATTCAAATGCCTGTTATATTGGAGAATATCAGTACAGTTGTAACACCACTGACTGTAACACCACTGACAAAATTACTAAATCAGAACTAAAATATAGTTCAATGCCACTATAAGTCACATTGTATGCAATGGGAAGGACTAAAGTTGCACACATTTTGCTAATTTATTTCAATTTTAACATCACTTAATGCTTTATGAGTAACACCACTGACACTGTCTTTGAGATTGTAGACTTAGGGTTAGCCTTCCTTCTTTTGAGATATCCATGCAAGAAGTAACTCAAAAAGACCTTCGAGTTTTCCTTCGAGTTTTTCCTGTAACACCACTAGCAAGCTACTTCAAAAACGTCCCCCGCTGCAATAAAGTTTTTAGCCACACTCCTGTTCAAAATCTAAATTTACAGGCTCTCAGAGGCCTGGGCCCAGTCTAAACCCGCTGGTCACTGGCCCCCTCCCCCCAGTTCTGCTTGTTCTGCATGTTAGTCCAAGTGGAAGCTGAACACATCCGCATGACTCCATCTACAATTTCCCACGCCTGATCTGGTTTAGCATGGAAGAGAACAAAAAAAAACATTCTGTTCTGGGAAACATCAATTCTTATCCAGAATACAGTATTGTAACGCAAACTTTTAAGCAAGCTTTTAAGTTTTCATTTATTACAATTCCCTGTCACCTCTCCCATCCTCATACAGGTATTTATTTGCCTCAACCCACCACAACCAACGTCTGTGGAATATTACTGTAGTTCTAAATAAATGTGATCATCGCAAATAATTGTGATTAGACGATTATGTAATAATTGTGACAGGCCTAGCTGAAGGTTTGATTTCCTGTCTGGATTTGTGTGGCTCTGTTATTACTCTGTTAACTTCTTTATCATACCTCCTTTCCTCTTCTTTCTTGTACTTTCTTTGTTTTTTTCTCTCTGTTTCCTTTCATTTTTCATTCCTATTTTATAACATTTGAATTCTATGAGAGATTAGTGAGAAATATTACATCAGGCGGAAGTAGTTATGACCTTTCTCCACTCTCCTCTTTTTCCCCTTTCTCTCTTTCTTACTTCCTTCCTTTATTTTTTGTCCTTTTTCATTTTTTCTTTAATTTTGTCTTTCCTTCTCTTTTTCTTTCTTTTCTTTCCTTCATTCATCCTGAAGACGTTTTAAAGTCATTGTTTTCTTGCCTTGCAGGCACTCCTTCAGAAAATGTATAGTAAAATCAATTTTCCATCAGACTTCTTATTTAGAATTATACCTGCTCTGTGATTGTGACTAAAACAGTCATTTAACCAGCTAAACTTTTTGGGGGGGAAACTCATTTCCCAAGTCTTTAAGCAAGACTCCTGAAATCAACAAGAGGCCTGGCGGTCTTGTCTGCAGCCCACTTCCTGCCACCACATAGTCTGGGCACCAGCGGCAAATTAAAAACCCTTATAAATTATTCATCTGCAAAAATTGATTGCGTGGTGTGATTTCAGGTGCCCCGCAGCAACACTGCTCCACAGCTCACATGGTGGAGGAATGCTGAAGTGGGCTGTGAGGATGATGAGCTGGTGAGTTGAGGTGTAGATGTGCAATCTAAGGTTTCCATCTGCAGAAGCATGTGCTATCGTCATTTGGTAAAAAGTGAAATTAATCTTGGAACAGCATTTATCCTAAAACGATGCACAATATCGCCAACCAGCCACTTCACTACACTCATTGTCCATTTTATCAGCTCCACTTACCATATAGGTGCACTTTGTAGTTCTACAATTACAGACTGTAGTTCATCTGTTTCTCTGTGTACTTTGTTAGCCCCCTTTTACCCTGTTCTTCAAAGGTCAGGACCCCCACAGGACCACAAGACCGAGTCCAAACGATGTTGGGACCATGATGAAACCAAGACTGGACTGAAGTACTATGACACTAGTAGCAGCAGCATTTAAATACAGCAAGAGTGCACTTATCACCTTATTTATGTCATAACATTGCAAGATTGCAGATTCTGATCTTAAGAGATTTCAGTGTTTCAGTTATCAGGCCAGAAATTCCACATCTCTACTTAAAGATTATTCTGATGATTCTTTCTTTGGTTTCTTTGGGTCTACTTTGCCTTACAACGCCCTGCATGTACCCCTCTGCCACGAATGGGTTAAAAAAACATTTTAGGCAAAAACCGTATGTTTAAAAAATTGAAAAACTTTCATAAAACAATGTCTCTGGCATCACACAACACAATCATGAGGAAGCTTTTAGAGAGATTAAACCCTTCAGACATCTAGTGCTTATCACCACCTCTGTAAATGATTCTGGCTCAATATGTTTCTCTAGATTAGAGCATTTCACATCAAACCACTCTGAAAGACTTTGTTTACATCTTGAAGGGGAAATCCACCAATTTTTCAAAATTTCTGAATAATTCAGTGTTTCCGATGTAAACAAAGTCATTTGGTTTGGTGCATTGCAGAGACTCAGATTTCTTTACAGTGGTGGTGACAGGAACCAGGGATCACCATGTCTGCAACAAATATCTGGCCATTTTACTTACTATCCAAAACCACCAGTGAACCTACACGTGTCTTCTGAGTTTTTATGTTTTTATATGGAATGCTGATGATAGTAAAATAGTGGAAAATCTGAAAAAATACATTTGCTTTATCACAAAACTATTCTAAAACAGTGTGTCAGACAACAGGCAGCGTATTCATAATGATTTTTTTTTTTATATAATAACTTTTTGTGAGGGAGCTTTTAGAGGTGGCTGTCTGGTTCCTATCACCACCACTGTGAACAATTCTGCCTCAGTAATTTTCTCTAGAACAGAGCATTTCACACCAAACCACTCTCAATGACTTTATTTACATCTTAACTATTTAATTTTACAGAAATTTTGAAAAGTATGTGGAGTTCCCCTTTCGGGTTTAAAGCTTACATGAGCAGTATAGTCCATTTGACTCGTTACTGTTTTTCCCCCCCAGTGGTGTGGAAAGCTGAGGCTATGATGCACAAAGGTGTCAGAATATCTCTATGATCATAAAAAATACCCTAGAGTGTGTTCAAAATCCTTATCTCTACTTGTAGATTTGATCTGATTCTTCTGACGTCCCTTGACTCTAAGGCAAGACGTGGCAATTCGTCAGGAAATGATGGTTTAAGAATGAGCCTGATTCCCCTTCTATCTTGACCCTCATCATCTGCAAGCTACATACAGGAATATTCAACGGCAGCACAGAGATTTTGTACTCTGCTGTCGTTTATGTAGATGGGCTGCTGTAGCACTGACTAAACTCCAGCTGCGCCGTTCTCATCTTCTTCTCAATTACAAGCCTGCCTCACACTGACCTGTGCGTTAATGAGGTGCGAGTGTCATTAGGATCAGCTATGGAGAACCGACCCTGAGAGGACTCTCATTCATACATTATACAAGGCACTCAAATACATTAGCTAGAGCAGCCAATATAACTCAAGGCCAAATAAGCAGAATGTTCACACAGCCTTGAGTTATTTTTGCTTATAACTGCAATAGTGTGTGAACTGGATTTTAATAAGGTCGATTTGGGGAAAATAACTAATTGCGATTTTTCTAACCAATATTGCGACTGCAATTTAAATTGTGATTATTTTCTATAAATTAAGGGCCTCAAACTTTGGCCAAGAAGACCAGAATATACATTTTATTCTGGCTTAAGCCTGAATGCAGAATGTTATACACCAGACTGCCAGTTAGTTTATTACGATAATGATAAAATATTGTCATATTTTAACTCTTCTACATAGATGTTGGGCTGCTTTTGTCTGACCTAATTCATTGACAGCAATCACAAGCTCCATGTTTTAAAAGCTTAAGAAAATTATGTTAATAATATTAACTAAGATCAAAATTGCACTGATTTGAAAACTGCGCTCCTTTTAAATTGCAATTTCGATATAAAAACAAATCATCTTTCAGCCCTAATTTTAATTACTGTGATTAGTTATGAGTAAAGTCATATACTACAGACAAACTATGAGATAAAGCAGCTGCTTTGGATGGCAGATTGGCATGAATTCAATCTGTGTACACAATATTCATAGCTGGGAGCTCAAACAATATATATATATATATATAGGATTCCTCTCTGGTGATTTATAGGATCAGCACATCAGCAACCAATTTTAACGCTCCCATTTCTGTTCATAATAAACTTCAGAATCAGGCTCACAATGAACATTTAACAAGCTGTGATCCACCTTATCATGTATTGGCTAAGAAGTTTCACACTGATGTAAATTAGATCAGCACAATCACGTCATAGCCTTTAGAACTGATGGGTGAATTAAAATTGGTATTTCATTACAGCCCTAGTTGGCGCACAGGCTTTAGGAACCGTGTGTTTTAATACATTATTTTAGGCTGGGTAATTACACCAATTTTTCAAAAATTGGGCACAATGTAATCGCTAAGCATGGTATGATATAAAATATCATTCTTAAGAAAGTTACAGAGTCAGAATTGTTTACAGTGGTGGTGTTAGGAACCACAACAGTCCTGAGATCAAGTTTTGGCATAAAACATACTTTTTGGATAATAATTAAAATAGCTATATTTGTGTCGTAGACATTGTTCAAAACCATTCCAACTCTCTCTTTTAAAGGCAATAAACTCTTCAAACACCTGGTACCTATTACCACCACTGTGAACAATTCTGACTCAGTAAGTTTCCCTGAATGACTTTGTTTACATCTTAAGCATTTAAATACATACATTTTGAAAAGTCTATGGAGTTCACCTTTAAGGTATAGTCTACGTGACTCGCTACTGTTTTACCACCCAGTGCTGGTGAAAGCTATGAGGCACAAAGGTGCCAGCATATCTCTAGGATCATAAAAAAAATACCATAAGTTGTATTCAAAATCGATTTTTAAACAAATTTCAGATATGTATGACATCTTTTACATGTAGTTAGTAACATTAACATTCCCTAAGGTTTGAATTCCTAACCCTTGACATAAAAATATCAGGGTGTGTGCCACAAAGTCGATTTTATTCTACAGGTTAAAGATGAATTTAGCTGATTTTTCAAAATGTCTGTATAATTCGGTTTTTGTGATATAAACAAAGTCATTCAGAGTGGTTTGGTGTGAAATGGTTCATTGTAGAGACTCAGATTTCTTTGCAGTAGTGGTGAGAGGAACCAGGGGTCACCATGTCTACAACACAAATACAGCCATTTTATTTACTATCCAAAACCGCTGGTGAATGTACATGTGTCTTCTGAGCTTTTACATGGAAAGCTGATGTTGGTAAAATAGTGGAAAATCTGAGAAAAATACTTTTCTTTTGGGACTATTTTGCCGTACCCTACATGTATCCCTCCACCATGAATGAATTATAATAATTTGATTACAATACGATTTAGGCCAAAACCTTATCTCAAAAATAATCGTAAAACAATGGGTCAGACATCAGGCAGCGCATTCATAATAAACTTAATGTAAAAACTTTATGTGAGGGAGCTTTTAGAGGTGGACGTCTGGTTCCTATCACCACCACTAGGAACAATTCTGACTCGCTACGTTTCTCTAGAACAGAGCATTTCACACCAAACCACTCTGAATCACTTTGTTTACATCTTAAATGCAGAATTAATTATGCAGAAATTCTGAAAAATCGGTGGAGTTCCGTTTAAGTTAGCCTGAACAGCTAGCAAAGAGTAAATCTGACAACTTAGCTAGCTAGGTAACTAACGTTAGCTAACATACTAGCTAACCGGTGATTTATTTACCTCAGACACAACTTCGATTCAGTTTACCAAACCGATTCCTTTTAACAGTTCGTTTTAATTAATCAAACTCTCCGGTTCTGTAGCTTTAAAAGCTTGCGAATTAAATTATATTGAAACATATATGTTTTTAAATTTCATCACAACTCTTCACCCTACAACATAAACCAAACAAAAGCTCGATTGAGTTGGATCAGCTTTTAGAAAAGAACCGACACATTCACGAGTCTCGGCGCTGCGCCTAATCTAACGGAAACCTAAAGGGGGATTCCACCAATTTTTTTTTAAATTTTCTGAATAATTTGGTGTCATTCAGAATGGTTTGGTGTGAAATGGTTCATTGTAGAGAATCAGATTTCTTTACACTGGCGATGTTAGGAACCAGGGGTCACCAAAATAGCCATTTTATTTTCTATCCAAAACCATTGAACCCACACGTGTCATCTGAGGGTTTGTATGGAACGTTGCTGATGGTAAAGTAAAGGGAATCTGAATTTGAGAACTGTTTTGCCCACACAACCTGCACGTATTCCTCCACCATGGATGGATTAAAATAATTAAAGTACACTGTAAGCCAAAACGTTATCACAAAACTATCATAAAACAATGTTTCATCAGGTAGCGCATTCATGATGATTTTTATATAATGACTTTTTGACTTTGTTTACATCTTAACCATTTCATTATGTAGAAATTTTGAAAAACCGGTGGAGTTTCCCTTTAAGACGAGCTCATACATTTAGAGTTCACAGTTATGACTTTACAGCGGATTTTCCTGAATGTAAACCCTGATAAATACTACATTAACACCCGACCCCCTCGTTCTTACCCTGCCCCTCCACACTGTCTGTGATCTTCATCTCCTGGTCTTGCTCCGTAGCGCACACATCGCCGTCTCTCCTGGCCGGGCTGGGCTCCAGGGCAGCGGCGCAGCGGCCGTTCCGCACGGCCGAGAAGGGGTCCACCACAGCGGGGTCAGGGACCGGGGAGGAGGCCGAGAGATCCGTCATGGTTCTCTTAAGTTTCAGTGCTTTTGAAGCTCAGAGAGCAGCTTTAGAGTCTGAGAGAAGGCGCCATGCAGCCCGAGAGATGCGCTGCTAAAACGCAGTGTGTCCCGGCATCAGCAACGGAGCCTCCCCCTTTACCACACACACACACACACACACACACACACACACACACACACACACACACACACTGGCTCGTATTCCTGTTTTTGTGGGGCATTTCTATTGCCTTATGCATTACCGTTGCCAAATGCTGATACTAAACAGTATTACTATTACGAAATGTTCCCTAATGCCTAACCTTAAAGGGGAACTCCACCAATACTAAAATTCAAAAATTCTAATAATCATTAAATGGTTAAGATGTAAGCAAAGTCATTCAAAGAACTGTTCACAGTGGTAGTGATAGGAACCAGACGTCTGAGGTTTAATACATCTAAAAGCCTCCACACAGAAAGTGATCACATGAAATTGTTATCAATTATCTGCCTGATGTCTGAAATATTGTTTTATGATAGTTTTAAAATGAACCTTTAGCTTCAAGCAGCTAATTTTTATTCACCCATGATGGGTAGGTCAATTCAGGGCATTGTGAGGCAAAATAGTCCCCCAAAGTATTATTTTAAAAGTTTTATCAGTGTTTCACCACGATCAATGTTCCATATAAAAACTCAGAAGACACGTGTAGGTTCACTGGTGGTTTTGGATAGTAAATAAAATGGCTGTATCTGTGTCCCTACAATGAACCGTTTCACACCAAAACACTCTGAATGACTCCGTTATTGAACTCTTAAGTTTGGAAAAATCGGTGGAATTCCCCTTTAAACTCAGAGACCAAAGGATAACCTCTGACCATTTTGTTTTTTCTCAAAGCTGAGGTTTGTGGCTCAAATATGTTTTTTCTTATAGGGTGCAGCTTTCAAACATGAAAGTAAACATGTTCATGTTTTCTGTCACTAATGGGAACATTTGGTCCCCACAAAGAGATAAATACACAAGCACTTACTCACACTCTCGCACCACCCCTCCCATTCCCAGCACACAACAACTGTTTAGCATGATTGGACTGGATGTCCTTGATAACCGAAGTTGTTGTTTGTCACTCTCAGACTGAGGTGAAGTCTGTGTGGTAGAAATATGAAACCAATTTGCAGAAATAAATATTCACTTTTGGATACATTTCTATGGAAGCCCCTTTGCTTATGTTCTCCTTCTCTGTTTCTGGCAACTAAATGTCAAAATTCTAACTTAGTATCTCAAAATTATGATTTACTTTATCAATGTTGTGCCTCAGTATCTCAAAATAATGACTTGTCTTCTCAAAATCATTATTTCAACATATTAAGGAAATCAAGCGGTTATTTTTGACATCATAAGTCAAAATATTGAGAAAATAAGTCATTTTTTAAGATACTGAGTCATTATTTTCATGTGTAAATCAAAAAAAAGTCATTATACCAACCTAATAAGTCAGATGTTTGAGGAAATAAGTAATTATTTTTAGTTTATAAGTCAAAATTGTAATATACTGGTGCTGAAAACAGGTGTACTCTCAGCCTTTACTCTTCTGTGATGGCTTTACATTAGATGCTGGAACATTGCTATGAGGATTTAATTGCATTCAGCCAAAAGAGCATTAGTGAGGTCAGGTAGTGATGTTGGATGGTCAGTTCTGGATCACTCCAACTCATCCCAAAGGTACTGGGTGGAGCTCCATCACTCCAGAGAACACAGTTCCACTGCTCCACAATTCAATGCTGGGGGGCTTTATACCCCTCTAGCCCACACTTGACATTGTGCTTGGTGACCAGTAATGGGTGCCCCTTAAAGTAGCTGAAATCACTAGTTAGAATAGGCTGGACAGATAGTGTACTTGATTCAACTCTAGACTCTAGCTGCCCACAAAGTCTGAAATGAATACCTGAAAATTGAGCTGAAGTGACTAAAAATCATCAGTGTTTGTTTTGTTCTTTTGTGGTGATTTAGTTCAGAATCAGATTAAAATCACTGAGCCGTTGTAGATGTTGAAAGCTCTCAGAGGCCTACAGATGGCTGTTCAGCTCCACTGTCTGATTAGAGATTGAATTGAATTATCCTCACCTCTAGTTTGTGAGTTAGTGGTTATTTGGGGTCCCAGGCAGCTCACAAAGTTTCTGGCAGCTTATTAAAGGATGTGTCAGCACTCAGCTTCAGTCGGTAGCCTGCACAATTCTGGTACCAGATATAGAACGATTTGCCTGATTAGATGGTTCTTTTCATGGTGAAATTGTTCTTCAGACTGATGGAGAATGTGTTGTATATAGTGCTATACAGAACCTTTTTGAAAAGGGCTCTAAAAAGCACCAAAAAGGGTTCTTCTATTGTTACAAGCTTGACAGCATAAGAACAGCAAAACCCTTTTTGATGCTATATAGAACCATGTACAAAACATTCTCCATAAATCCAACAGACATTCAAGAACCATTTCATCATGCAAAGAACCCTCAAAGCATGAGGGTTTTATGGAACTCATGGTTCTGGAACCACTGCCTTTACTAAGGAACCCTTAAAGAACCAACTTTTTTAAGTGTGTACTTAAAATAGCCTACCATTGATTGCTTACTTACAGAATGCTTACTTTCAGGTTGTGCATACTAAAAACAAAAAATGAAACAAATCATATTGGCTCTTTTATTCCAATATCATGAAAGTGTTTTCTGTCTTGAAACCTATCATGCAGAGGAAGACTTGAGCATTGAAGGTTTAACAATTCTCAAAATTCAAAATTAATATGATATTTTTGTGTCATTTGATTTTTTTTTTGACACAGCAAAAATAAAGAGTAACTGAAAATATCCATTACGTTAATATGTTAAGTGTTTCCACTTTATTACAGCATTAGAAACACATAAAAATACAGCAGTACAAGATAATATAACATGGTTTATTGTTACATTTCTACTGAACATGTATTTTTTATATACATGTGAAATATCTTGGCATCCACAAAGACAAAGACACATGAAAAGTTCCAATTTAAGGCAAATGCTCTTTTATTGAACAGCCGGCAAGTGACAGCCACCACCCAGAACTACTGAAGCAGTCCAGGTAGCACTCAGGTCATTTCTAACCATATAACTTCCCTTCATGGCAGACACTTAACCCACACAAACTACCCACAACTCGACACAGAATAACACATGCAACATATTAATACAGATTTGGTCAATTCCACCAACAAGCACACCTGATTTAATTTAATGAAGTGCTGATTAGACAAACTAGGTTTTGAATAATAACAACAATCAGTAATGGGCTCCTACGAGGAGAGGTCTGGAAATGGTTAATTAAACACATTGACATACATATAATAACTACTTATTGTATTAATGGTATTTGTATTTATTCAAATATTTTATTCTAATATTAATTAAACAGTTTTTTAAATATAATTTTCTCAGGTATCTATTCATGTGCATAGTCCTGTGTATTTAAATTACACTGTGTTTAATTCTAAACAGAACAATTAAACAAACACAATTTTTGACCATCTGCACAAATTACATTTTGCATATGTTTTTCCATGTAGGCAGGCTGTGGGCTGCTGTTTTAGAAACGCCTTCAATATTCTTCAAACCTGCTACCTTAGGTCTAGGTTGTACACTTCTCTTAATAATTACGTAAAAAAGGATTTGTAATTAATGCTCCTGCAGTACATAACATAGCCAAGAAACGGCAAGATTTCATCAAAATACTCATGCTTGGAAATCACCTGGAGGATTTACATTTCATGTTGAAACTTTGTTCTAAACGGATTTCTGTGAAGCTGCTTTGTGACAACATCGGTTGTAAAAAGCGCTATACAAATAAATTTGATTTGATTTGATTTGATTTGATTTTTTGATAAGTAAGTTCTTGAGGAACTATGGTAAAGAGTGTCATAATGCAACTGCAAATCATTTGCAACTAGATCTACTATTAATCCATGGCGGCAAACTTTATCTCGAGGTGTGATCATTTTTCCTCTCCTTGATTGGTCAATATGACCAGGCCCCAGCCTCAGAAAAAGGGAGCAGGTTGAATTTGATTGGTTGATGTGATCCACCATTGGCAGATAAAGGGGTGGGAGTATTTACTTTGAGCTATGTTGGGCTAAGCTACAGGTGCTTGTGCAAAGAGGCAAAGGTTAGCAGTGAAATATTAAACAGTCTGAAACTGCAGCATTACATGCTCTAGAAGATTTCAGCAGGGTGCAGGATGAAGATTGATATCCATAATCATATTCTGCCCAAGGAATGGCCCAATCTAAAAGAGGTAGGCTTTAGGGAAGCTCAGGAAGGACAGTATAAAAAGGCATATTTTATGGTATGTGCTGCATTTATATGCAGGGTGGGTTTAATTGCTGTATAAAATCTAATTTCATGTGTTTTACAAACTTTTGTTTTTTTAAACAAATCACATTAGGTAGAAAAAACAACAGCTATTACATGTTTGTTGCTCTCTAATAGTATGCAATCACAGGCCTTTATTTGCATTCTCATGCTTTTATTTTATTGAGAAATGAACTTTTAGTCAGCTTTCCATTTTCATCATCATTAAAAAATAATAGACTGGTAACACTGATGACAACTGTAGCTCTAAGGAAACCGAATCTAAGATTTGCTTTTTAAACCTCTAGTCAAATATTAATTAGGACCTTGGCCTCCTTTGCTTGTCAATCTGTGTCAACAGAGTGAACTAAGGGTTAATGATTTAATCTCTCAGTTCATTTGCCTTTCTTACTTTCAGTAGCTCTCATTATTCTCTGTCCTGACCAGCTGACCTAGTATTCCTCATAAAAAATATATTGTCCAGTTTTGTGTTTTTGAACCATATTGTTGGGGGTTTAGGCTTTTAAAATAAGATATGGGACAAAAATGACCACACATTCGTTTCCACATGGCAAAGAATCGACAGCAAAAATGACTTAAGAAACTCTGATATTCTAATGCAGCAGTGCAGTACTCAAAACAGTCATGCTATTATTTCTATAACACCTATCAAAGAACAGAACATGTGTAATCATTAGAGCTGTCATGATTACTCAATTGAAATAGATAAAAAAATTTCAGCAATTAAAATTTACACTCTTGATAAATCAGCTTAGTGATAAATTTGCAATTTGAATGATAAGCAGGGTGTCCACAAGTCATAATAAAGCCATGTATAGCAAACTAAACATTCTCCATAAGGGGAAGCCATTATCACTCAAAGCATTTGTCTGCATCACTAAAAGAGAGGAGAACCACACCAGGAGATCTCACTAATGCACATGTTTATGCTTACAAAGTTTATGAAGTAATATAAAAACATTTTCTGTTATAAATTGTATGTATATGAAGTAAAAGTATATTTGAAGTAACAGGTTTTGCTTAAGTAGGGATAGGTTGGACAGCTTGGCAGGCAACTAACAGGCTACTCCAATAATATTTAGAGTTAGGTTTTACTGAAGGATTCACTGTAAAACAAGAAAGCAGGTTGACGCTAATGCAGCGAACGCTAGCTATCATGCTAATATGTAAATAATGATTTAATGCTAAACCTTTGTGGTGAATAAGTTAAAGCACAATAACACAGAGACATGGACTTGTCGAAGTGTTTTTATGCTGTTACAAAACTATTTCCATCCCAAAACTGGACGCAAGATTTTGCACCATATCTCACTTTAAAAGCCCACATTTCACATATAAACACCAATATAATTTTAAAACACTGAAAATTAAGATACAAACATGTTTTAAATTTTCCTGTATGTGTACTGCTTTATGCCTTCATCCCTGGTCTTTCTTAGTTTTGCCAGACGTCCATTGATTTCACGTTCCATAGATGCTATAAATCATCACGGTCCCACTGTTTAGTATCAGAGATAGGTTTGGTGTTAAATATTCATATATCAGTCTTGTCTTTGGGTCCAATTTATGACTTTTCACCTTTGAATGTGACAGTGTGCTGAGCCTAAAATGTAGAACACTGCTTCATCAGTATTCCCGATGTGTAACACTGCTGTCAGAATAGTCTGTGATTGGATTTTCTTTTATTTTGTTTTATTCAGTCATTCCAGCCATGAGCGGAATGTTAATACACTGCAGCAATAATTTATCAAATTGAATGTTGCGAATAGGATAACTGAAGGCTGTATCTTTGCACTAGAGGTGTTTCGTCCTCATATGTTCATCAGTGATGTGAAACATGGCCTGAAATCAATGGGCACATACCAAAAATGACACGTAAACAAGGTGAATTTATGAAGTTGGGATATATTTTAATGTATTTCAATGAATTCAATGTATTTCAATGTATTGCATTTTTGTATACTTACAATTATTAAAGTTTTATAGAATCAAATTACATCTGGACACACACCCCCAAACTTCCAAACATTCTAATCTAACAATACATAATAAATAAATGTTCTGATTTGTCCATCTTTACAAATACCATTAGCCTATACTTGAATTTGAATGTAGCCTATACATTCTTGTTTAGTCAGTAGGCCTGTCTTTACATTTCACCATCAGTGAAAGATAAAGCTGTGGTCACCAACCCTGCTCCCTCACATGTACCTTCCTGCAGACTAATAGACCGCACCTGATCCGTCTAATTAGCACTATCACTATTGATTATATGAGTAATTGAGTCGCCTAGCAATGTCTTTGATCAATGAAGTACAGTAGCAAATTAAAATGAAAGTAATTGAATAACAATACAATAACACATGGGCTTAACTAAACAATATAATATGATGATGCAGAGCCTTTCCAGATTCCAGATTAGAAAATAATTCATTTATACATTGAACACTGTGTACTAAAATGCACCTATCGGTTTCTAACTGTAAGACAGAGCATCAGGATGCATCAGAAAATTGTTCATTTTTAATGCCATGTTGGAAATCTGCATTGTTCCTAATAATGAGCTAATCATTTTATTAACTTGTGACATCCATGAAGATCATTATACAGCAGTGTTTACTTCAGAAATCTTCATTTTATTAGCCCCAAGCTAATGGTGGTATTTACCACTTAGGCCAGCTCTGTTTAAACATAGACAATTGAAGCATTAAACATTTGTAACAGACATTTAATTCTTTTCATGTTGCAGTTTTAGGCCTAATTGAATGTTATTGTCATAGCCTGATAGCCAGTTAGCTGTCTGGCAAAAGCAAAACTGTTTTTCATATACACTTTTAAAATACTGAAAACTAAAGATTTTCACGTCACATTATAAACAATGTTGTCTATGGCAGTCGTCATACGCAATTTGTAACTATAACCTTGAGAGCTAATAGCTCCCCCTTGTGAAGCATCTGCTAAGCACAACTTTGTTATGACTTTTGATATCCTTTTTATGATTTAAATTGCAAACTAATTGCCAAACCAATTTTTTAAGTATGCAATCGATTCTTTTTCAATTGAGTAGTCAATCAAATCGTGACACCTCTACACCAAATTACCTTCAGAAGTCCTTGATCACTGGTTTAATTTTCATCAAAAATGTTTTGTACTACCCAAGACCCAGAAGGATAAGTGTGTGTGTGTGTGTGTGTGTGTGTGTGTGTGTGTGTGTGTGTTTCATACTATTGAAATCTCTATGTAAGTCTATGTAAAAGTCATTATGACATTTGTGCATTGATGCAGATTCTTTCAAGATAGTATAAAGATGTATTTAAGAATCAATTAATTTTTGCCAATTCCAATTTAAGATCTACTTTTTCTATTTTGTAAACACCCAACGTTTACATTTAATGGTATATATTATTCTTTCCAGTATTAAATGAGAGGATGACTCTATAAGCCATGCTTTCAGAGATGGTCTTCATACAGTCATCAAATGTGTGCTAGTCTGATGATTAGTATGTATTAAACACAGATGTAACAATTTGTCTTCATGTTCTCTCAGTATGTATGAGTTTGCACACATTAACAATCTCTTTGTGGTTCCTGCACTTCCTAGAGGTATGGATATGATGGATTCGTCCAGCTGCACCACCACTGTAAAGTGAGTCAGTACAACAATTATATTTTCGTATCCTTTTTATTTTTCTCGTTAATTCCTGTAAACAGTAGACCTGCTTGTGTAATTCACTGGAGCGGCATGGTAAATCTATGCAAAGATCAATGCTCTATGACAACAGTGATTTCTCAGCACATTCACCAAAGCAGGTTCCTCTGCAACATATTGCAATGAAATGGTCTAATGGTCAGGATGGAGAACGTATGGTCAGAATGTAGTTGGATGGAGTGTGTATTGGCTCTGGGATCTGCCTGGCTTCCTGAGAGCATACTGACCCCTACGAAGAATGAGTGGGCAGCACAGGAAGGACAGGGTCTGAGTGAGGCCAGCTGGGCTAGTGCTCAGGATATTAGGCCAGATGATGGCAGAAGATGTAATAGTTCTTACACCTGTAGGAACAGACAAATGATCTGTTCTTCTACCAGACAGTTCAAGGCAGAGTTCAATGCTAACTTAGCAACAACAGCGCAAACTGAGACCAGGCATGCATGATTGCACAAATAGTTTGTCAAAAATTATTTACCCCCAAATGTAGCCAATCAGTATTTCATGGTGTCCAAACAACACAGACCATGCTGGTCTAAGCTGGTTTAGGCTGGTCTAGCTAACCACCCAGCATGGCCATTGCTGCTGACCAGCATACCAGCATCCAGAACATAGCATATACTCGTTTGGCTGGTGACCAGGCATGCTGCTCTATGCTAATTTTTCTATCAGGGTTTTGTCCATGTTGATAGATTACAGCAGGGCCAGAGTGGGACATGATGCAGACCAGCCCACCTCAAACTTTTGATTTCATCATTTTCATCTTCTTCATTGCTTACTCGTCTTTATTATTTATATGCCATATTGAGATGCTTTTATCTTGTGTGTAACACAACCATTAGTCAATATGCTACAAACTAAGGAAAGTAAGTTAATGTCAGCATTTCTCACTGCCCTCTTGTTCGGATATGTCCTCATTCTCTTTCAGTAGCTTTATGATCTTATTTTCCTGGTACCGCCTTATTTTTTATTTTATTTTTGTATTTTTTTGCTGCTGCTGTCTATCTTCGCATGATTCATATATGAAAATTGCTCTTTGGGAAATGCAAAAAACAGTAATGAACTCCTTATTCAAGTTTCCGTTACACCCTAAATAGTGCCACAGTTAGTCACTACCCCCCGTATAGGCATCTCAATGTAACTGCTACATTATTTAAGGTGGAATGGGAAATGAGAACAAGAAGCTAATTTCAACTTCAGCTAATCTCTCTCCACTGTACGAGGTTCAGTGACAATCAGCCAGGAGGTATTGTACTTGGAGTGGGAGTCGCTGGTTTAACCCCTAAATTACCATTGTGCTTATCTAAATGAGTTTATACAATAGCTCACTGTAACTGGCCCAAAACACTACCAGCCCACTGGGAATTCTCCCAGCTGTCCTGATTACCCACTCCACCATTGGATAACAGTAGGCCAAACAGTGTCAGAAACCTCAGAAATAAATGTATTTGAGATTTGAGAGTGTGTGCTGATTTGGCATGTTCTCATGTTTACAGATCCCTTTATTTGCTCGTTGAAATGTCTAGGAAACTGCCCATGTTACCCAGCCATATCTATGTATGCTACGCCCTGAGTTCTCGAAAAAAAAACGGTTTGCATTACAAAGTTTGTTTAGCTAGCTATTTAAGCACTTGAATTAACAGTAAGTATTCAACACTCTGCTCCTTGTTGTCCCTTTTATAACCTCTGGTGATCCCAGGATCCCAACCATGACCTTAGGAACCCCTTTGTAGGGCTCCTTAAAGGGCATATCCTACATTTTTCTTGTATTTGATTTTTTCTTCCACTTTGATGTTTGTGTGGGTTTTTGTACTGAAAACTGATTCATTTTTACATGACCATCTCTTTTTAAACCTTAGAATTAAACAGGCTGTTTTTTCTTATTATGTAAATGATATGATCTCTGTTCTAAATGGCTGTCCTGTATTGTGCCTCTTTTCCATGCTGCTTCTGTGTTGTTTCCAGGCTGAAACACTCCTAATAGCTTCAGTGTGAGTGGGCGGGGCTAAATTGCTGTAGGCCAAATAGGCAGATATTTGTAAATGTGTTTTCGTGAGATTATAAAAACAGTATATTTGTAGCTTAGTTTCCATATATGGACCGTAGTGAACAGTATGTTTTGAAACTTTTAACAATGTTTACGTACTACTTTTACATCAACAAAGGTTTCCTTTGATATGGGCCCTTTAAGGTATTATACTGAGGCTTCATGTTTAATATAAGGAGAAATGTACAGCCCTGGGAACACAGATACACTCCTGCAGTTGCACAGTGCTAATGAATGTTTCTTGACTTTCTTTGCTGGTGATGCGTCAAGGCTAATGTGCTGGTGCTGTTCATCTGAAAGCAAAAAAAGTAGCTGTCAGAAAGTAACTCTTGAAAAACTGGCACAAAAATGAAGTATTGCTGCCATTTGCAAGTGTCAGTGAATCATCTCCAGCATGAGGAAGGTGTGCCAGCAGAGCAGAGAAGAAAAGCAGGCCAAACAGAGAGATTCTGAAGCCAACTAAAACTAAAAACACTTCTTGGAGGGCTTGGTTTCTGTGGGCACCAGCAGGCTGTGTGTGTGTGTGAGCAGCAGGCCCTACCTGAGTCCTGCTGTGGGAACAGTCGCAGAGCTAACCACAGGGTTTAAAGTTACAGAACATCAAGACACACACTGCTTTCCCTTTACTTGGTCAGGAAGTACAGAGTAAAGGCCTGTTCACACCAAGTACGTTTTTTTCAGACAGGATGTGATTTTTAGTGTAGTGGCACCTTCACACCAAGTCCTTTTTTGGCTAAACATTCTGAAAACATATGAAGAAAATGGGAGAAGAAGAATTGATTCTTTGAGTAGCAGCAATGATAAATTTATTATTTTTTCTTTTACACATGTCAACTAAATTTTATAAACATTATGTTTGAACTCACATTTGGTTTTGCAGAGTTCGCATGGCTAGCTGATTAGCTCACCGAGGCTAGCCTAGCTGAGGGTGAGTGTGTTCTAACTGAAAAATCCACTTCTCACTGTCCCATCTTTGAGTGAACGCTTGTGTAACGTAAGTGTGACGTACATCCAAGACGAAGTAGATTCAACACTTGATATGTTGATGTTTTGTATCAATCAATTGTCTTACTCTTTTTCACATACGTTTATCATTATAATGCATAACCTCTGACCACCCCCTCCCTACCTGATGGAAATGGTCAAAACTGAACCGTACCTTGAGCCCTTTGACATTCACATATGGCTACACTCCCCCTGGATGTCCCTCACTGTCTTCAAATATCGACTAAAGAACGATCTCTTTAAAAAGCATTTAGATGAGCCACAGTTTTGTACAAAAATGTCCTGTAATCTCTGTGTATTGCAGTACCAGCTGCCCATTCAGAAATCTGATATATGGCCATATATGCACACATATCATAGAGGGTCAGGCATATATTTTAAAATACATGTATATATTTGCTATGTACATATTTGTAACTATCAAATAGTGGACATATATGTATAATACATAGATCTTACATATACTTCTGATGTATAGTTGAATGCATCCCAGTACAGTTATAATTGTTACAGTGTTCTGTTAACTTTTAAGTGTGACATTATTTAATTATGCCAGGGAACAATATTTTAGTTTTAGTTTTAATGATTTATTTCACAGCTTACAATGAGCATGTTTTTAGAGTTTAGGTATATAGTGATTATACTAATTTTCAATTTGTTAGGAAGTATGTGGAAGAAATAAAGAAGGCATACAAATCTTATATACATGAAGCTAGCGTATATGAGTAATGTATACCATACACAGCAATAATGTTATCTATCAAATATTATTAAATGCGTGTTACACATATATATTTACATATATTGATGTATGGCTGAAATATGTTCTGTGTTTAAAAATGGGCAATTTCAAATAAGTTGGCATATATGTCACATACATGTCCAAATTGCTTATAAGGGACATCCAGCACTGTCGCCTTACAGCAAGAAGGGCCTGGGTTTGATTCCCCAGCTGGACGTCCAGGGTCCTTTCTGTGTGGAGCTTGCATGTTCTCCCCGTGTCTGCATGGGTTTCCTCCCACTGTTGGCCAATTGGAGATAATATATTGCCCCTAGGTGTGAGTGTGTGTGTGGATGTATGTGTCTGTGTGTCTGCCCTGTGATGGACTGGCGACCTGTACAGGGTGTTTCCTACCTTCTGCCCAATGACCGCTGGGATAGGCTCCAGTGACCCCCCCGCCCCCCGGGACCCCACGACCCTGCGAAGGATAAGCGGCTTAGATACTGTGTGTGATATTGGATTTTGCTATATATTAGACCTCTGTATGGGTGCCCTGATCATTTCAGCATTTTTTCTGCTGCCAACATACCCAATGCAACTAAACAGCTAATTAAGAACCAATGTCAGTATGTTAGAGCAGGGAAAGCTCTACAATGTCCTGGTCAGGAGGGACTCCTGGGGCAGAGTTGGAAATCTTATCTACATTTTCTAAGTAGATAACAAACTCTTTCCTGAGTTACTTTGGACAAGAGTCACTCTGATGTAAAAGGATAATAAAATTTATCCTGAAGAGGCCTAACTGTTGCTTTTCAGCAAGTATGAATGCAGCCTTTAGTCAGCATTATGAAAAGAAATCCATGCCCAGTGTAAAGTCTAGCACATTTTCTTTTGCCCTCTGCTGCCCCCTGGTGGTTGTCAGTTGAGGATGCAGCCTGAACCTGAAGTTTGGCCTTAGCTATTTTTTGTCTGGTTGGAAATTGACTGTAAAACCCAAATGGCACTGAGGAATCTTTTATTCAGAAACTCAGAAAATATATTCACTTCAGGGAGAGGCAAAAATGATGAAGGATGGGAAAGTGTTCCGGGTGATTCAGGAAAACTGCTGGGACGCCGAGGCTCGGATACGGGACATGGATAAGCATGGTAAAGCCTTTTTTTACTTTTTTTTTTTTACTACAGTATGGTTATATTTTCTCTACATTCTCCTTAAACTGCAGGCTATTAATCTTAAGACTTATTACTCAGTAATTATGAAGCTAATGTGAGGTACTGAAATGTGGGTCCACAGACAAATTGCTCTATTATTTCTTGCTTTACAACTCTCTCTCTTAAAACCTTCCTATGTACTGCACACACTTGTGACATTTGCATGTCATAATTCATTTTTATGTGGCTATTTTTCCAATCTCTTGATCCCTTCACATTAGACTACTTTTGTTACCGTGCCTTTAAGACTAATACAGGGTGTCCCAAAAAAATTGCCATAATTTGAGATGTGAATATCTGAGTAACTACATGTCCTAAGCAAACAAAATTACATAGGCTTCATGTTGAACCATACAAGATTTATTTATCAAAATTCAAACAAGAAATTCAGAGATGTAGATTTTATAACCGATTTCACAAAGCCTCACAAATGTAATATCTTCCGATACTGATGGTCGTCCAGATCCCTTTGCCCTGCACAGACAGCCTTCCTCTTTGAATTTTTTGTGCCATGTCCAAATCTGCTTTCCAGTTGGTGCATTTTTATTGAATTTTCTCGAAAATGCACGCTGCACACTCTTGTTTGAGTGTGTTCGAGCATATTCAAACACACAAAATGCCTTTTCATTTCTATGAACGCCATTCTTCAACCTGAAGAAAAACATTAAAAATTCAACTCAGTTAGTTTTTAAACATTTTGTTAAAATTTGAGATCATTTGAGGGAGAATTGGCTGTTATTAGACTATGAAATGATGTCAATGTTTTTGGGACGCCCTGTATATATGCAAATGATCTCTGTTTAGATTAGTTGCAGTGAACTGCCTCATTCAAAAAGCTGTCCAGGCTGAAACACTCTTTGTAGCTATCAAAAGAAAAAGGTGGGGCTAAACTGTAGGCCAAATAGGCAGATGTAAATGCACTGGTTTTTGTGACATCACAAAAGCAAGTGGGGCTGTTTTGATAGCTTAGTTTCCATAAAATGGACTATATGGACTGGGTAGAGTGAATGGTACTATTTGAAACTTTATGAATGTTTATATATTACATATATTACATCAAAATTTGTTTTCCCGTGATGTGGGTTGCCTTAATGAGCATGGCTAATTTAGAAGTGTTAGACAGGAATATTAATGTTTCATTCGTTTATTGTCTTTGTCTTTCAGGTGTAACGGTGCAAGCTCTTTCTACAGTACCTGTAATGTTCAGCTACTGGGTAAGCAGTGCCTGAAACTTTGGCTTTGTGATGGCCCATCTTGAGCTTGTAGATGAAGTACAGTACCTTTTATTATCTGTACTCACCACCATTCACTTTATTTGACACTCCTTCTTTCACTCACTGACCACTGAGCTCCATCTACCTTATAGATCTAATATATACAGAAATAACAGACATTAATGTGTCATTTGCATAGAATAAAGAGTTGGTGGAGCTCCAAGCTGAAGCTGGAGATAAGCTTACATCATCTATTCCAAAAGGCCAAACCTCATGATACTCTGGATCTGTGTGGGATTCTGAATGATGACCTGGCAGCCACTGTCCAGCGGTACCCTAAGCGTTTGGTTGGCCTGGGAACGCTGCCCATGCAGGCTCCTGAGCTGGCTGTGCAGGAGATGAGACGCTGTGTGAAGGAGCTGGGCTTCCCGGGAGTGCAAATTGGTTCACACATCAACAACTGGGACCTCAACGCACCTGAGCTTCATCCCATCTATGCTGTGAGTCTGACCTTATATTGAAGACCATCGAAGGACACCTAGCTTTTCCAGGTGTTTTTAATAAATGAGCACGATTTCATAGTTTATTTGCAATAACTGAACATAAAAAATCAAACATTTGAAAAGAAGTCAAGATGTTTCTATAATACATCAGCAACATTTCACAAGCTGAGTTTCTTCATTCTTTTTAACTTACAGTAAGCAATTCACACTCTTAAAGGATGGTTCCACCAATTTTTCAAAATTTCTGCATAATTCAGTCGTTGAGATGTAGACAGAATAATTTACAGTGATTTGTAATTTACAGTAAATACATGTTTTGGACGTCGGGTTCCTATCACCACCACTGACGCTGTAAGTGCAGAAGTTGGTGAAATTCCCCTAATGCTTTTCCTGCTTTAATACACATAAAACACTTGTTAGTAGCTCATCAATTATTAGTCATGTTAGAGCAATGGAATCAAACACAGTGAATGAAAGTGAATATGGTAAATGATACCATAGCAGGTAAATGTAGGCAGTATATCTAGTGTTTCTCATAATAAGATTGTTGTAAGAACAATAAGTTTTTTAACACTTTGCTAACTATGTTTACTTTAGTAATACAATTTCACTTGATAGGACAGCTCTATAAAGCCAAAATATATAGCAAAGAATTAAAGAAAAACTAATAATATTCTTGCAACAGTCTCATAAAAAGAAACATTTCATATATTGCCAACATTTAAGCTGGTTTCACCTCTCTGCTGTTTTTTGCAGCACAGGACTGCCTGTATTCAGAAAAGAATATACTATGGCTTTAGTTTAGTCCTATTTAGTGGCCAGCTAATACCACTGAATAACAGATACTGCAATTCTAACTCTATTTACCATTTAGTGCTTGTTTCTGGTGAGATATACACGTACATTTATTTATATTGTGTTTTTGCACTGCCCGCAGGCTGCAGAGGAGCTAAACTGTGCAATATTCGTGCACCCCTGGGATATGCAGACAGATGGCAGAATGGCCAAATATTGGCTGCCATGGCTAGTTGGTGGGTATGAGATAGAATTCAAGCATTTAACGGTATGACAAGTGTGTATAGTCAAGTAGGTCAGTTTTCCAAACTCTTCAATCTGAACTTGACCCATTTAGCCAAATTCTTTAAAGTTACATTTCAGTATTGAAAGAGAATTCACGATTGTTTTCATATATATATATATATATATATATATATATATATATATATATATATATATATGTGTGTGTGTGTGTGTGTATGTATACATACACACACACCACACATATGTATATAAATATACATATATATATGTATATATGTATGCATACATATGTGTATATATATGTGTGTGTGTGTACACACACCCATTATTAAAATATGTTTGCAAATCAGTACTTTTTAATGCCATGTTTAGAATGCATATTTCTAACTGGTCTCTATTAAATCTTTTTAAAGACTTTATTATTCATCTTTGTACAGAATTTGACATGATTTGACCATTTTTATTTTTAACCTCTTTTTTTAAAACCGTGATTACCGTTGTCATTAAAGTTTTGTTGCTTTCTTTCAGGTATGCCTTCAGAAACTACAATGGCAATCTGCTCTATGATATTTGGGGGTATTTTTGAGAGATTCCCTAAGCTAAAGGTGTGCTTTGCTCATGGAGGTAAGTTATGAAACAACAAAAACCTTATCTACACTTTCTCAATTATAGAGACAAAGCCTTTTCAATTTGAGAAGAACTAAGGGACATTGGGTTAGAGTTATTCAGCTGAGAGCTCCTCCTTTTTAATCTGATGCTGATTTTTATATTAATTATGTGACAATATCTCATGGTTTTCTTGAAGGTGGTGCTTTTCCGTACACCGTTGGACGAATCGAGCACGGCTTCAATGTGCGGCCAGACCTGTGCGCTACGGACAATAAGATCAATCCACGCAAATATTTAGGATCCTTTTACACCGATTCTTTGGTCCATGACCCCCTCGCTCTTCAGTTACTTGTTGATGTCATAGGAAAGGTAGCATATCACATTTTCTTTTTAACCTTAAATTGATAGAATAGTGAATAGTGAAAAATGTATTTTACACAGCTTTCCTGCTAGTGAAAATGTAGTTGATCAGCCAAGACATGTATAGTGTCTGAAGGTTGCAGTCAAGCTATGAGGCTAATGTGGTGAACAAGTAATAGAAGCTTACAACCACCAATTAACGTTAGATTTGCTGTGGTTTCTGACACTGTATGATATGCTGTTTTCTATGAAAATGGTCAAAAGTACATTAGCATAGGAAGAAACAGTAGTAGCAGCCATCTGGAAGATTAAATAGTCCATACCTAGTTCATTACTATAGATAATCATGTGTCATACAATGTAAGAATGTCTACTGAACAACTTAACATAGTTTGAAGCAAGTATGTGATGATTTAAGCATGTAGTTTGAACAATGCTAATGGTAGCATATGCTTCAATTTCTTGCCAGCTATATTAGTCTTGTACCTCCAATGCAAAGATAAAGAAGCAAACTTAAGACACCAAACATTTCTTGGCTGGTTATATTTGGTGTAAGGGGGAAAATCTGTATATTTTTTAAAACATACACATTTAAGGAAAAGCCTTCATTAGCCTCTCTTTTACTAGCCTAGCCATGTACTTAAACGCCTGTGGTTTTCACAGCAGTATTGTGATTATGCCATGCACTGTGCTCTTTTTTACTACAGGATAAAGTAATGTTAGGAACAGATTACCCATTTCCACTTGGGGAACTGGAACCAGGAACATTAATAGAATCAATGAGTGGATTTGACAGCATGATAAAGGTAACAAACCTGTTAACGATTAATCTGATCATAAGTCAACATACAATGAAACTATGTTTATAACTATGTTTGCTTGGTGACTGTAACTATAGTTAGGCCTAGACATACAAAACTATTCATCTGAGCTAACAAGTTCTTTGAAGGCTAATGTTGTATTTCATTTTTTTCAGGATAAACTCCTGGCAGGGAATGCTCTCGAATTTTTAGGCCTTCAGAGAAAGCAGTTTGAGTGACATCTCTCTGCTAGCAAAAGCAGCATATGTTGTGTTTCCGATGCTGGTATGACGATGCAGGGTGACCAGCTAAGCCAGCATAAACCAGCTTTGTCCAGCATGGAATGGGCCTGTAAAATCTGATGGATATAACGACAAAGGAGTAACGTTGCTGCTAATATAACTGATTTAACATGATCATTTCTACCAACAATTGTTTAGATTTCTGAAAAGATCCTGCCCCTCAAATATAACATTATTTTGCAATTTCAGTGTGTGATATGATTCATTCATTCATTCATTTACTTATTGTTTCTATCTCATCACTAGCCTATGGTAAGTGAGTCTCCAACCCTAAATGTGTCAAAATATATACACCTAAATAAATATGATTAGAGAGGTGAGGCTGTGGCAAATTTTTACCACATTTTTTGACTAAACTATACTTTATTTATGACGTCTATAATATGTTTCTCTAGCCATAGAGAAATCCAACTTAGCCCCAGGGTTGCTAATATGGGCAAAATCCTGACTACAGAATGACGAATGACAGGGTGGGTAGGTTAACACCAATCTGTTGTTGGAAGAAAACCTTGTATCTCCGAAATGGTAACTTTAAAACCTTTTAAAACCTTTTAAACCTTCTTTACTTTTAATGTAAGTCAATGGAACCAGACTTTTTCAAGTCATTTTGGGTCATTTTCACCCTGTTCTTCAATGATCAGACCCAGCACAGAACAGGTATTTTTTGGGTGGTGGATCATTCTCAGCACTGCAGGAGTGGTGGCATGTTGGTGTGCGTTGCGCTAAATTAATACTTACCCACACACACACACACACACACACACACACACACACACATTTTCTAAGCCGCTTATCCTTCTGGGTCGCGGGGGGGGAGCTGAAGCCTATCCCAGCAGTCATTGGGCGGAAGGCAGGATAATACTTACCCAGAAATGTAAAAATTATTTACAAGCTTTCAAAGAAACAACATCACTGCTTGTCAAGTAGATATTTTAAAATCAGCACACAGCAGTTAAATGTATAAGCTAAAAAATAGCTCAAATGGCTTCTTTACAAACACAGAAGATCCTGCTAAAGCCGGAGTAGACAGATAAATCACTGTGATCAGTCAGTTATTCTGAGTTTTAGTAAACTCTTTTGAGGCATGACTGAACTGAACAGTCTCTTTAGTCATAGACATGTTTACGAGTGATAAGCTTAGCTTTGGTATTGTACTGTACTTGTGAATATGTCCCATGGCAATTTAGATACGTTATTAACTGGAAATCACATAGCTACTCACTTTAAAGTAAAATTTGTCAGATTTTGTTATTGGGATATGGTGGATTTTTAGCTTATGTCATGAAAAGGCACCGGGAGCAGCAGTGGAGTGAAGCAAGCAAAGAGAATTTTGTATTCATTTGGTATTTATTTGAATAACGATTTTTTTTTAGAAGAACTACATGAACAAAACAGCCAACCAGTGAGGAACAGTGTAAAAGAACAGCAGAGATTTTCCCATGGACTTTTTCAATATGTATTCTAAATATATTCCCAATACATATGTTACTTAATACGTTTAGGACAGTGTATTCAGTGTTCAGCCATCACTACTTTTTCATTAGTATTTAAACAGGTATTTTGCTCAACCCTCTCTGTATATATATATATATATATATATGAATATACACAGTTGCTCAAACAACACTGTAAACACTGGTTTGTAATTTCAACCTAAACCTTTTCGATTCCCCTCGAATAAACATTTTGAAAAACTACATTTCCTATGTAGCAATAGACCGCCTTATGACGTATAAGCCGTAGCGTGCGGACACGCACGTAGTGACGCTATCACGTTCCGTGCGCCGTCTCTGTTCAGCTTGTTGAAGCGCGATGGCGGCGAGCCGGGGATCTTCTTCATCTTCCAGGTGGTTCTTCACCCGGGAACAGCTAGAAACGACGCCGTCGAGACGATGCGGAGTAGAACCGGACAGGGAGCTCTCTTACCGACAACAGGCGGCCAACCTCATTCAGGACATGGGGCAAAGGCTCAACGTGTATCCTTCTCTTAGCCATCGATTCGCTTGTTAGCATGCTAAGGCTAAAGCTAGGCTGCGAGCAGACGCGGGTATTAAAATACCAGCTAACTAGAGCGCCTAGCTAACGAGTGCAGTCTTTAATGGATCTCTGTTCTTGTGTACTAAAGAGAACGCTAAGAAAGCGGAGGTTAAATTTCTACAAACTGTTCAAGTGTCCTAGCTAGTTAGCTAGAAAGCTAGTGCGCTTGACGAGGCTGGTTCGCCTGCTACTTGTTCGAATTTTCCCGTTCCACCTTAAATGGCGCAGCAGTTACATTCTGGCGCTTCAGGCTGCACCATTAACAGCTGCACTAATTCAAGGTGGAACCGTAAAATTCGAGCAAAAAGCTGGCGACTCGGAAGCTGACCGTCAGAATGCTACGCACTATTTACTAGCGAACGGTTTAAAGTGGAATTGCACCGATTTCTTCAAAATGTCTTAATAATTCAGTTCTTGAGATGTAAACAAAGTCTTTCATAGTGCTTTAATGTGAAATGGTTCATTGTACAGACACCACATTGTAGATACACTTCTTTACAGTGGTGGTGATTGCAACCAGGGGTCTCCATGTGTTGAACACCAATATGGCCATTTTATTTACTGTCTGAAACGACCAGTGAACCTACACGTGTCTTCTCAGTCTTTATGTTTTTATATGTACTGTTGATGATGGTAAAATAGTTAAACATCTGAAATAAAGAAAAATAAGTTTCTTTGGGGACTGTTTTACCTCACAACACCTTGCGTGTATTCCTCAACCATGAGTGGATTAAAATAAATTGATAAATACATTTTAAGCCAAAATTTTATCTCAAAGCTATCTGAAAACAGTGTTGCAGGCATCAGGCAGCGCATTCATAACCATTTCATGTATTAACTTTCTGTGAGGGAGCTTTTGAGGTGCACGCCTTGTTACTATCACCACCACTGTGAACATTTCGGACTCTGTGAACTTCTCTAGAATGGAGCATTTCACACCAGACCACTCTGAATGACTGTGTTTGGATCTTAACCATTTAATTATGCAGAATTTTTGAAATATCAGTGGACTTGCCCTTTAAGTAGGCATGTGTAAGGTAGAAAACAGGATTCCTATGCTGTATGGAAAAGTATGAAATTTGATTTTAGTTATTTTCAAATCTGGATAAGTATGGACAAAAGAAAAGAGAGCATTGGCTATATTTGTGTTTTCAGACTATTGCCCCTATTCTGTTTTCCAAAATATAAAATTGAGAGTGTCTAAAATTAATTGATCAGACAAGCAGACAAGATTTTTTTCATGCTGTTTGGAGCAGACAGCCAGTGCAGGCAAAATGTTTACCACTGTGAGAGCGCAGACCAGTGCGAGCATGATGTTGTCGAAAGCAAGGCAAGAAGTATGGCGTGCGGCTGAACGCACACTCCTACGCAGAGCTGTCTCTGTGCCGGTATGTCACAGCCTGCAAAACAGCTCTGCCCCAAGTGCCTTATAACTGTACTAGAGCTGGACATCTGCAACCAAATTAGCTTGAAAGAAAATACGGCAGTATCTTTTAATTGTATATGTACGTGTTAAATAACCACATATTAAGATTCTCAGAGCATTTGATTTATGCAGTGATTAGAGTCTCTTTTGGATGTAAGGAAAACACATGGCTGCGTTTGTCGTTTCCATACACAGTGAATAAGCAAGGTTGCACAGACACCGTGAAAATTAAATTTGTTCTTCTTAATAAAAGAGACCAAGAAATATGAAGGATAATAATACAGTATTATTTAAAGGAAAATAATGAGTATAGGTAGCACCGGTAGTTTACTTCCTTTTTGGGCAGAGATGTTTGACAGTGGTACGTCGTCCAGCTTTCTGCCTAGCAGCGTGGGCTAAACGGCCACAGTGGGTAGATAGAGCTGGAAAGGTCGGAAAGATCTACCGACAAATCTGGAAATCTGAGTTTGGAAAAGTATGGGATTTTAAAAAGGAAAATGTGAAGGAACTCTGAGAAAAGCTGTGCTGCTTTATGTATTTCACAATTTTCCCTTTGCTGGCTAGCTAAAGGATTCTACTGTTGTTATGATGTCAAGATTGTAACAATAGAAGACCCCTTTTAGGTGCTGCATAGAACCATATTCAGAAAGGTTCTATATAGAAACATATACAGCACAAAATCTAAAATCATAAAATTTTAACAGCAGTTGTGTGGGTTTGTAACAAGTTGTGAAGACATGGACACACTCAGGCGTTTCAGTCCTTAATTCTTGTTTCAGCTCCCAGCTCACGATAAATACTGCAATTGTTTACATGCACAGATTTTATATGTACCACTCTTTCACCAAATTCCACAGAAATGTGAGTATTGCTTCTCTAAACTGCTCTAATTCCCTGTAATCTTAAATGTTGGACAGATTGTAAGACCCAATGTAACACACAATGCTTTTTCTGTTGTTCTAAGTCCTACCTGTAAAGTTTGTTTGACAAAATATTTTTTGCAAGATAGAAATGATGAGAGAGTGAACATGTTATAAGTTTGTAGTTGGAGTGGAAATATCTAAAGTATTTCAAACTCAAGGAGCATGAGATATTATGCAGTATAATATAACGGTGCCCTGTTTAACTGTTTCATAGGCTATAGTCCTATTAAGGCTGGATTCGTTTTACATTGGGAGGAGGAGTAAAGTAATTGTACCACAGCACGTCTGAAATGTTTGAGAAATTCGCACGGGATAAGAAATCTTGGTATAAATTAGAGATGAGAGTGACTTCTGAAGTCACGCACTGCAGTCATACCAAAATAGTTACAGACACTATATGTTTGGGCGCTCATGAGTGAAAAAACACATCCTGATGTTTGTAATAGTAATTTTCTTCAAGTTAACCATCTACCTAGTTGTCTTAAATCAGTGATGTGTCATTGAGGTAGGATAATACCTATCAGCTTGATTTGGTCCACAGAGAATTCAAGTAAATAGAGGTAGGCGATATGACAAAATATAATATCACGATACTTCTGGAAGGTTTCTACGATACAGTGTGTCACAATATTTATTTTGTCTGACATCTAATAAGTTGGAACAGACAAAATAGTGTCACATTTTAAAGGTGTTATCAAAAACTATGAACCCAATTGCTTGTATTCAACATTTCACATGAAGTACTGCACTAAATCCAATTAAACAGGAATAGTGCTGCTCTCTTTTTAATCAAATATGCAGTTGGAAAGTGATTTTTAAGTACTGACACTACGCATAAAATGCACAGAAAAGGACATTCTGATGTAATTTATGATAATGATGAATATTGTCCCAGCCCTACAAGTAAATGTTTCTTTGAGTACTTCTATTCAGTGAAAGCCTTAATAATCTGAAGTTATTTTTACAGGTCGTTTCATAGTAGGTAATGGGTGCTGGAGTCTTTATTGGCGTGTCAACTCACAGTCTGTAAACATTACTAGACATGGCACATTCAATAGGAACTGAAGTAACGGCAGTAATAATTACTTTTATCCAACCTCTCTGTGTAATACTAATCCTGTCTGAACAATTCTTAGGTTATCTGAGCATTTATGAACCTGCCATATCATTTTAGGTTGGATTGTATAAATGATACAGTTGTCTTTTTGTTATCCCCCCCACAAGATCATCTCTCCAACCACATTATTCCTGGCTGCAAAGGTTGAGGAGCAACCACGAAAACTTGAACATGTCATAAAAGTGGCACATGCTTGTTTGAACCCTCAAGAGCCTCCTTTAGACACAAAGAGTAATGTAAGTCTGGGTAGTTCTGGGTATTGTAGCTCTATTTTTCTTATTACATATTTCAGCATGTTCCCCTCACCCCAAACCCCTGCTTAGCTGGTGTAATACTGACTCTTATGGTAACCAGAATTTAAATTTCAGGGTGATGTGTATTAGACAGAGAGCATTGTCTCAGATGATGTAGTCATAGTCAGCGGGGTCTGAGTAAACTAATACGGACCCCAGTTAGCTTCCAGAAGGCATACGTCAGTTGCCAAAACTGTCAACCCATGTACAGAGTGGTTGATGATACTGTGGGTTCTAGTTTATGAGGAAAGACACATTACAAGCATCATGTAATGATTGTCTATTGAACTTCAGGCGTACCTCCAGCAAGCTCAAGAGCTGGTGATACTTGAAACCATAGTGCTGCAGACTTTAGGTAAGTGTGAGACTGTCTAAGGGTATGAAGTATGTTGAAAATGTCCATTGCAGTCAAAAGACGACAGCTTTGTGAGCTCTGGAATGTGCTAAAGCCCACACCCACATAGCCTGTTTACCAGCCATTTGAATGAACCATCTGTGTTCTGACTGTTATGGATGTATGGTCATTTACTTCATCTGAAACAAGATGAAATGCTAAAGTGAGACCCAAAACCGACCCTAGTTGTCTTCTTTGATGTTACAGGATATTGTTCTGTAACTCTAGCCAACTACTGTCATCCTTAGGCTTATTTGGACGTTGCTGTATTTTGTTTTGTCTGTTTGACAAGATTGTGGCATTACATTGGAGCCATGTATGATGCTTGTGTGCTTTCTGTTGCAGGGTTTGAAATTACTATTGAACATCCTCATACTGATGTTGTGAAATGTTCCCAGCTAGTGCGAGGTAGAGACTTCATTCATTGGCCTTATGTTCTCTACACTTCTCTCATAAATAGATTTAAGAATACTGTTTTTGTGTGACAAACCATTGACCTTTAAGCTATGGCTAAGCATGAAGTACAGTACAAGGAGAGGTAACTCATGTATTAAATATTGTATTAAGTATTTGCAGTTCCCTTTATTTTTTTCCAGCCTAACACTTTCTCCCTTGTTTCTTGTTTTTTCCTTTCCACAGCAAGCAAGGATCTGGCACAGACTTCCTATTTCATGGCTACCAACAGGTTGTTATCCTGAACCTCATTTGTTGCACTGTGACTGCACACTATAGCTTCCTTTACTGCAGGTTCCCCTTACGGTGTCCAGCACCCTCTTTGCGCTGGTGGCTACCGGGATGCCTCTCCCTCTCCAAACGCCCTCAGACGGGGCCAAGGGAGGGAGCCCCTGGCTTACCGGCCCCGGTTGCAGTGCGGTGTATTGTACGAGGGATCACTGTTGGCACAAAGGGGTCAAATGCACAATGTGAAGTGTAGTGGTGCCCTTGAACCTCACGTTTGCTCAGTTACAGAAGTGCATTTATCTTTAAAAAAAAAAGAAAGAAAAAAAAGACACTTTGGTAGCCTGAATAGCAGCTAAAGGTTACACAGATGTAAACATTACATAGAGGTCCTCAAGGTAAGTACCTAGACTTTGATGATTTTTTTTTTTCTAAACCTTTTAATGCTTTTGATGTTAAATTGCATTTGCTTGCTTTTTTGCCTGATTTTTTTTTTTTTTGGACATATGCAATTTTTTTAATGATATTTTTGAAATCGTAACTCGTAACTAGTTGTTTTTCTTTGTTTTGTTTTTTTTTTTTTAACCCATTAAGGACCTATTTTATGACTACAACTACTCTGAATTAGAAGTAATTTGGTTGCATATTATTGCATTATGAAAGCTAAGGGATGTCCTGAGAAAATTTAAAGGTCCTCAAGGGGTTAGTCGTAGTGCTTTCTCTCTTGGTTTATATTATAATTTGTCTCAGCAGAAGGCAGTGCTTTTTAAGCCATTATTGTAATTCTTTTACTTTCAGTAGTAAGGCATTGTGTAAGTAGGCTATATTTAATCAAGGATATGGCTGCATTATCTAGAGATGTTTGTTTCTAACTGTAGAACTACTCAATGTTTGGATGTGGGACTGTTGATCGCTAAACACATTGTCTGATTTTTGTCATGTCCTGAATTGAGTTATGTGTTCTCCTTCAAAAAGCCCTTTGTCAGAAATAAGGTCTGATGAAGTGATCTAAACTGGGTCTTGTTCCATTGTAAAACTAAGGCATGAGCAGGTTCAGTCAGGTGCTTTGACATTTCTCATCATGCAGAAACAATGAAAAAAGTTCAGTTAATGTTTTTTTGTGACAGGTTTTCAACCGTCATTCCTTTTTAAGTGTAGATTAAATTTGATAACATTTGAAAAGCTTACAGCTGCAGTCCTACTTGGATGTTTGTTAATTTCAAAAAAGAAAAGTCCTCAAAAGTTAAAAGTTCCAAAAGGTTTAGATGCAAGGTCATTTGGGATATGCTGTAGTCCCTGTTCCAAACATTGAGCTTGTTCCATGGCACAAGGTTACCATCCATCTTTTACCTTGACTTTCTGACCTTAAACTTTGCGTTCGGACAGTGTGGCCTGCAGTTATTTTTGAAGATTTCAGAAGGCTGAGGTACTACACTAGTTTCTGCTGTAGCTAGAACAGTGCCTTTAAGCATCAACACTAAAAAAAAAAAAAGTTTCATTTGTTCCCATTGTATGTGCAATACTGAAAATATCGTCTTGATTTCATGAGTTAACAAAGATTTTGATTCAGTAGTAAAATACTTAAGTTACTATTTTGGTAAATAAAATGGATGGTAACCATATGCTCCCTGTACTGTGTAGTATGTTAACCCATGAACCTTTTGTCCCTCTCAGGGCAGTAATTGCATGGCACTGAAAAACATGAAAGTGTCTAGTGTATTGTATTTGCTTATTTGATGCTGTCATGTTTACGCTTGTTTTTAATGCAGCAAACCCATTATTTTGCTTCTGTATCATTGAAAAGACCAAACGGGTTGTCAAATCATGGGTTTGTGTGTAATCTTTGTAGTAGATATTAGTTTAATTGTCTGATCAGAAGGAAGCTTTGATGATGTGATGTTAGTTTGGCCAAGCAGTCCCCTAGTGACATGTGTCTCAGAGGTGTACTGGGAAGCCAAAACTGACTCCTGTTATTTATGAAGTAGCATTTGAGTGCCTTAACGTTTTAAGCTTGGCCCTGCAGATTTGTAAACGTGTTAAGTTTGTGTCCACAATGGCTGATAAAGGCCTGCCCTCTTTTTGTCCTTTTTTCTCTTTTCCATGCAGCCTCCACCTCACCACCTTCTGTCTGCAGTACAAGCCCACAGTCATTGCCTGTGTTTGCATCCACCTGGCCTGCAAGTGGTCGAACTGGGAGATTCCTGTGTCCACTGATGGCAAACATTGGTGGGAGTATGTGGACAGCTCAGTCACACTTGAGTTACTAGATGGTGAGTTATGAGTGCTTTACATATATCTTGGGATCCATTCGTAGTATTGGCATGAGCTAGTCGTTGATGTCCTCCACAGTTCAAACCCATTGTATGTACCATAGTATGTTAGATTTGTGCGTATTTTAATAGAGATGTTACATTTGCTCTTGCAGAATTGACACATGAGTTTCTGCAGATTTTGGAGAAAACTCCTAGTCGGTTGAAGAGGATTCGGAACTGGAGGGTAATGCTTGTGAATTTAAAGAAGTGCATGCTGTTCATTTTTGCCGTTTTTTCTTTAATTCTATCTTATCTTTATTTAGTTAATTCATCATTTTAAAACTTTTTGTTCTGCTTGTTGTCAGGCAACGCAAGCTGCCAAGAAGCCCAAAGCAGAAGGCCAGTCATCAGAGAGCGGCTCTTTTGCAGGCTGTTCCTTAACCCAAGACCAGTCTATGGTAGACGCCATTCCTGGAGTGTCTGCGAACGCAACTTTCCCCAAAGCCTCCACGTCATTCCCTGTTGCTCTGCCTGGCAACCCAGGTGCTGCCCTTTCCTTGGATTCTGTCGCCAACATGCAGGGCACCTCCTATACTTTCACAGCCCCAAGTGACTGGCCCCAGGACCAAGGGCGCCCAGACTCGTACTCTCTCAAACAGATCCCTCTCCATTCCTCGCTCCTGGGTCACCCGCACCGGCCTGACAAAAGCATGGAGTTCAACCCAGTCAAACAGGATCACAAGGCCAACAGTGGTGGGAAGCACCAAGCTCCTGTTTGCCCACCGCCTGCACCTCAGACACAGAAAATGTCTCTGGAGAAATACAAGGAGAAACACGCGGCAGAGCTGGCAGCGCAGAAACGTAGGCAAGAGCAGCAGCTGCAGCAACAGAGCACTGAGGTGGAAGGCAAGGATTCATATACGGGCTCGGGTCAGGCTGAGCACCGCAAACACCCTCAGCCCCACCTTCAAGGGTCCAGCAGCAGCAGCTCCTCTACCGCCTCTCCTCTTAAAATGAAACTGCCCTTGCCAGCCCAGGACAAACTCCAAGGTGACAAACGGGAGAAGGGAAGCTCGTTAAAGCTCCGCCTTCCGGTTCCTGCTCCTCCTACCGAGAAAGGCGGCGCGAGTAAAGAAGAGCTGAAGATGAAGATTAAAGTTTCATCTGAACGGCACAGCTCCTCAGACGAGGGCGGTGGCAAGAGCAAACATTCCAGTCCAGTGGTGAGCAAGGAGAAGCACCGGGACCACTCGGCCCACCGGCACCACCACCACAAGCATGGCCACTCTCACAGCGGCAACAGTCGAAGCCCCCTGGCAGGCCTTGGCAGCGACGGGGCAAGCTCCGGCTCTTCGCGTAAGAGGACGCACGCCGACCCCAGCCATAACCACCACTCCTCCAAAAAAAGCAAAAGCTCCAAGAGCGGTGCAGGTAGTTCCTCTCATTGTTCCTCTGTACAGCAGTGTGTGTCGTCTCGCAGCTCTGTTCTTAACCTTGCCTTCCCCCCTCCTCCTCCTCCTCCTCCCCCTCCTGTCGCACACCAGGTGGGCTTCGGACATCTCAGCAACCTAGTGAAACTGGACAAGAAGCCAGTGGAGAGCCACGGCCCTGAGGGTGCCGTTCGGGCCACTAGCGCTAATGGCATACACACAGACTATAAAGACTCTTTCGATATGCTTGATTCGCTGTTAAGTGCCCAAGGAATGAACTTATAGAGAAGGAAAAGGGGATAAAGCAAAAAATGAAGACCGAATCTTAGGTATTATCCTTAAGAGGAAGGAAGAAAATATGAATGTGAGTGAGAGTAAGAACTAATAATAAAATGCTTCCCGATCTTCTGATCTCTTGGCAGTTCGGTTTAGTCCTGCCTATTTCTTTATGTGTAACTGCTGCTTTGTCCTCCATAGTTTCAAATGGATCATGATGAGTGAGCGAGTGTGTGCGTGCATGTGTGTGTGGGCGAGAGAGATGGGGCCATCCTAGTGCAAATAAGTGTATTCTTTAATTCTCCACAGGATAAAAAGTATTACGAATGCTGTAAAGCATGAAAGGTGCAATTTCTTTTTCTTCCCTCTCCCCTTTATAATTTAAGTGATATTTACTTAAGACACTGAAGAAATGCTGTCCTCCTGGTCCTAACCTAACATGTGCCCTGCGTTTTGTTTGGATGTAATATTTTTTTTGGATTAGGTGAGGAGGTGCTGAAATGGGCAGTTGTGTTTTTTTTTGTTTTTTTTTGTCTACCTTTTTATTTTTCTTTTAATAACTTCGTGTACGTATGATGTGCATGTTATAACCAACAAAGGGATGAAGTAGAATGCTGTTTACAGAAAGTGGAGATAAATGTACATACATTTTTGTATGTTAAAAGCTATACCATAAATACTCAGGTTTGGAGCTGCTTGTATTACTATATATATGACTATATAAATATATTACCAGGTGGGAAAATGACATTCGTAAACCGCTACCAGAATCAGTCATTGGTGATTCTAACTGCAGCATTCCAGTGATGTTTGAGAGCCTGTATTCTGCATGGCAGCCAGGAGAGGGCACAATCCTACATCATCCTGGGCAATCCAGACCCCACCAATCACCTGGCATGTTGTCAGAGGCCATGCAATTTGTACTAATTAATCTTTTTCTTTTCTTTTTTTTTTCTTTTTTCGACCTCCAAGATGACCTTAAGCTGGACGCCAAAGGCTGTGCCTCAGATAAGAAAAACAAACATAAAAAATGGACAAGTGTAGTACTATGAAGTTTACATAACTTTTGCTGTGAAGTGCATTTAAAAAAAATCTTGGCTTGATGCTATAGCCCACATGTACAAAGTTGTAAATCAATAATGGATGTGTTGAATCATAATTGTTGGATAAGAGGCAACTAGAATTTGTTCCATCAGTGTTGAATCAGTGGGTCTCATTCTGTCTCACGTTCACAGGTCAGTGCACCATCGTTGCATCCTTTTTGTACAAGTGTCGCATGCGAGTGACGGCCAACAATCTATGTACAGAGTTCTTTTACTCTTGGGCACAGAATTGCAGCTGTTTAAAGCAAAACACCTAGTTTCTTTTGACCCCATCTTCCTCTCATTTCATTTAGAGTCTAACAATAAATCCCAAGGTTTCCATTACCTTAACTTTAACCTCTGTCTATGTCTTTTCAATGGTTTGATGAAAAGTTGTTTGTTTCAGTGTACTCAGTGTACTACTTAGTAAATCAAGGTTTGTTTAATGTTGATTCCATAAGTAAGGTATGCGATAAGTAATGCTACAGTTGAGTGCAAAGTTTGGCTGCCCTGGTAGAAAAATGTTTTACTGAGTGAAAATAAGTACAGATGCTCTACAGAGAATGCACATTTAGTGTTTGTTTGCTGAATTTAACATGGGGAAAATATAAAACGTGGCCTGTGCAAAGGTTATGGCACCTCTTTTGCTTGCTTGTTTTGTTTCCCTCCCCCCATATGTTAAACTCAGCAAATAAATAGAAATCATGCACTTAAAATGTCACATTTAAGTTTGTTTGCTATAGAGGAACTTTTTCCGACATGGGAAATCAAAAAAAGTTATTTTGACAGAGGGGTATTTCACAAAACAGTTACGAAGTTAGCTTCATAACTTCGGCCAAAAAATAAAAAAAGCTTGTATATGGAGCCTCTAAGGTGACATTGTGATTGTTTTAATTAGGTTGGCTGTGAATTAATGCATTGTTACTGTTGGGACAAAACCATGTATTTCCATTTTTGTTAATTTTATTTTTTGATATGATTTTGAAAAAGCGGTTTTCCTCTGTTGTGTCAATTTTATGATGAGTGGACCAACAGCAATGGTCCAAAATTATTTGGAAAAAATCGTTCTCCATTTACTTTCATTAAAAGTTAGTTTTTTCTTGTCCTAGAAAGTTACCTTTTTGGAGATACAAGGTTTTATTCTGACAGCAGCGATATTGAGGCCACGAGTTACGTTTCTTGCAACTCGTCCTCGTTACAGTAATTCCTAGCCTCAATATAGTGAATCATGGCCTCAATGTGTTACCTTGTGACCAATATTCTTTAGGAGTTCCGTACCTGAGTAGATTTAAGAAACATTCATATTGGACCGTCCTTAACTTTTGGCCTAAGTTATCCAGTCTATTGAGAAATCCTGCTTTCTGAAATACCCCCAGGGTGTTCCTATCTTTTTCTTATGACTATATATGTGAACATTTTTAGAATAAGACATTTTGCATCAAATGTTTTATTAGGTTTAATACATTACATACAAGCAGATCAGATTGAAAGTAGATGTTGACAAAGTGTTTGTGACTTCAAATGCAATGCTGTCTGTCGGTAAATCTGAAGCTGGTCTGGAGGCTGCAGTTGCCTACTTGTAACACAGAGCTTTAACATTCATAAGTTTCTGTGGTGGTTTAAAAAAATAGTTGGCACACAATATGAAAACAATTTCGTATATTCAGTTAGTTTGATTAGACAAGTGGTGTGGATTTGAACAGGGCTTGTTACTTTTAGGCTGCCTGTGGTGAGAGATGAATGGATGCCTCAGTAACTCTGCTGCTGAGGGCCTTTGTTTCTGGTTGCTGCGAAGAGGAGAAAAAGACTATTAAAAACATCTATGCTTAACTTGTGTTGCTTAGAAGGCCTTCTTTCCTTTTGTCAAGTAATGGTGAATATATAAGATATTTACAACGCCATATTCATGCATCTTTGGTTACAGTTGTGATTCCTGTACTTTTGCTTCCTCTCAGGTGTTGTTTCCAATTATATCTTTCACTTGTTTATAACATATAAAAATAGGTATCGAAAGGACTTGCCTGGTCAAGCATGCTTTCACAAAGCCCTTTGCTTCTTCAGAGAAGTCATCAGGCAGCAAGGGCATCAAACCCTTACGAGCCCCTATGTAGAAGAGAGCTGCAATCTTCCCCATGTGTGCCAGTGGTGGCTTTCCAGTGGCCATCTCGAACACCGTGCACCCAACGCTCCAGATGTCTGATTTCCTCCCATGGCCAGTTTCGTTAATCACTTCTGGAGCCATCCAGTAAGGGGTCCCATGCACAGACTTTAAGAGGTCACTATGGCCTCCACTGACTGATAGATGATTGAGACGACGTGCACAGCCGAAGTCAATCAGCTTGACTATGCCAGTAGGCATGAGCATGATGTTGTTCCCTTTTAAGTCCCTGTGGATGACTCTGTTGTCATGAAGATAAGCGACACCCTCCAAGATCTGTCTGGTGTAGAGGGCAAACACCTTCTCGGGCAAGGGTCCGAAACGATTGAGGACGCTGAAGATGGAGCCTCCTGGGACGTATTCCATGAAGATGCTTATTATGTTGTCAGTAAGAGCTGTGCCCAGGAACCCTACTATGTTTGGATGATGGAGGTTCTTTAGAAGATCCACCTCCCTCTCCAGCCGATTATACTCCTTTTCTGCTGTTTCTGAAGTCGAGATGTCCAGAACCACCTGTTTAACAGCAATCAGCTGGCCCTGGCCAGTGAGTCCACAATACACCTGCATTTTGGAATATTTGGACAGTTCTTGTGAGCCATAAGGTTGGGGAGCAGTAGAATGTCAAATGTAAATCAAGCTCAAGTATCACGGTAACACTTAACTTTGCTTCTTACTTTTAAATGTTTCACTTGGATTAATTTATATGTTAGTTCATAGATAAATGGACCTATAAAACTAACATTTGTAGAATTTCATAAAATTGTAGGTATTGAATAAAATATTTCTTATAAAGGTACACTCTTATGGGAATGGTTCTATATAAAAAAAAAAATTCATGCTCAAATAGTTCTTTGCATGGTGAAATGGTTCTTCAGATTGACTGAGAATGTGTTGTAAACGGTTCTGTATAACCTTTTAGAAAATGGGTGTATGTAGCACCAAAAATGGTCCTGCTATTATGATGTCAAGCTTGTAACAATCTAAGAACCCTCTTTGATGCTATATAGAACCATTTTAAAAAATGTTCTATACACATTCATCTGAAGAACGATTTCACCATGCAAAAAACTAAAGCATGAAATTGTCCTATACCAAACTCATGATTCTAAAGAGAACCATTCCCTTTACTAATGAACCATCTTTAAGAGTGTACTTTGGGTGCACTATATCCTAGAAGTGGGATACTTACAGTTCCATAAGCTCCTCTGCCCAGAACCTCTCCTTTGGTCCATGTGATGGTGTCATCTACACTGGACGTCTGAGTGCAAGGCAGTTTGTCGGAAGATAAAGTGACCTGGTAGAACGTGGTAACAAAAAAACAGTATGTATGGACTTTATTGATAAACATAATATTATAGTATTGCTGTGTAAAAATACTGCATTCATCAATAACTTTTCATTTTACCTTAGTGGGATCTTTCTTGAGTATTGGCTGGTCAGTTATGATCTCTCTGTTCTCTGTATGTTCAGGCTTGAGTGTCTCCACCTCTCTCTCTTCCAGTGAAATTAATTCTTCTGCCAAACATCTCAGCAGATCATCTGTAACAGGCCCCTCACCCACTTCGTCCAGAAACTTATAGTACACAGGTGACCTTGTCCTGCCGCTCGTCCATGTGTTGATCATGGGCTGTACTGGGAACTCCTCCACAACTGAGTCCTTAATCTCACTTGAGCGGTTTTCTTTATGAGCCTCTGAAGTTAGTTGAGCGATTTGCCTGCTGAGGCAAGGTGGAAAGGCTGAAGGAGATAACGTGGGTAAATCCTTCTGCTCGTGGTTGATGGGTATCCCTGTTGCACAATTTGTAAGAACTTCTTTGATAACTGACAGCATAGGACTACCCTCATTTGCATTCCTTTTGTCCTCCTCGTTTGTGAGAACTGCATGATGCCTTATGTGAAAATTCTCATCTGGACCAGAGATTACAACTGCCTCGTCTTTACTTATATCAATAGACTGACTTAGATTTTGTGGTCTGGTTTGTTGGATGTTCCTTCTCTTGCGTGGTTTGCTTTTAGAATAGCTGCATTTCTGTGGCTGTTTCCTTCTGTTACCTTCTACGGCTTTTTGAGCCCTTTGTCCATTCAGGGATCTCTTAACTTGAGGAGCTGGCTGCACCTGCTTGGTCCTCTCGGCAGAACTGCCTACCCTAAGGTTTTCATATATTGGAGTGGCAAACATCTCAAAGATAGCTGGGCCTTTATCTCCCTGATGGATTTGCGAAAACATGTCGCTGTAACTGACCGAGTCTAGAGCTGATTTTGCTCGTTGCGTGCCAAAATTTCCTGGCTTTTTAGGCTGTCTTGCAGTCTGCAATTCCCGGCCCTGGTATTTATTCAAGATCTTTTTGTCTCCACTCAATTTTACTTGATGTGGACAATCTTGGGCCCTCCTCCGAGTTGAGGGAGCATCTTTGACTTTTTGACTTGTTGAGGGTGGCATTCTCGGCCAGTCTAGTTTGTTGGTGGTCTCCCCTCTAATAAGATCTGTGGGATTCATGTCTTTCCTTTTGACTTGAGATGATATGGACAAATTCCTTCTATTTCTTTTGGTATTAACAGTACCCCAGTTTGTATTTCTGTAGGCCAAGATATTAAATGACTGACTGGTGTGAAAAGGTCTGCATTTTCTTTCTTTGCTTTTGGTTGCCTTCATGGGTTGGCGTTTTTCCACTGACGCTGGTTGTGACATTGTGTTGTTCTCAGGAGAGAGCTGCTGATGCTCAACATCAATCAAAGCGCTAGACTGTTCGTTTTCAACTGCAGGTCTGATCTCTGTGCCCATGCCTGTATGTCCGTCAAGGTCAGTTGAGGAGGAACGTATTATTTCAACAACTTTGTCCTTTTTTAAAAGGTCCACGGAACATCTCTCCCCATTCTGCTCACATTCGTTTACAGAAATATGGCTCATCGCAGCCTCAACCTCTCGACTCATTTTGGGTTGAGATATGAGCATATCTTCATTGTTGGAATGAACACACTGAGCAATATCTGTTAGCTCCAAATTCACCAAATGTTCAGATGATGATAGATACACCTGTGGATCCTTCTTCAAGGTGCTAAACATCTTCTGTATGTCCTGTGGGCTATTTTCTTCTTCCTCCCCCTCCTCCTCATCAAGAGAGCTCTCGTTGCTACAGCTGCTTGAAGCGCTCTCTGCACTTCCTCTCCGTGTGCCTCTGGAAAAGCTCAGTCTGGAGAACCTTTCTCTTCGTTGCCTGGACACTGAGTTGGCAGGCAAGATGCTGATTGGCTTAAGCAGTCGTGGACGCTGAAGGCTTGAGAGCACTGGGCCGTCCCGGGATCCTCTGTCAAGTGGGGCCAAATGTTTTGTAGTCCTTGGGCACAGGACAGGTGGTGAACCCTGAGGGTTAAATTACAGAAGGTAAGTGGTCGCCAAAAGAGATGCAAACAGAGGAACTGATTGTACAAAGACCACTGTGCAACATGTTACCTTATGTCCATTAATGTCAATGTCTGTATCACCACTACTGAGCCCTGTAATTGAAAAATTACATAATTAAAATGTATTTATTGTAGTCTCAACAATCAATTTTAAGACACCTAGGATTAAGTTGTACTCACTGTTGTATATATTTGCCCGAACTTGCAGTAGAACACTTGCATCAAGGAGAGCCAGACTTGGAGCAGACTGGCTAAGGGGAGAGAGTTGTGGAACTAGAGGACTCTCTAGTACATTTTTACTCTTTTCTGTTAGTCTTGGTGGCATCGGTATTAAGGATGTTTTAATGGGAACATCAGAAGTGCAGCGCAGAATACCAAGCTTGTCCCAGCATTTATTCCTGTCCCTCAGGTTCGGCAACGATGACGTCCAACTAGGGAAAGCAACAGTGTTATATTCTAAATCACAGGCACAGAAACAGGGTACAATGTGCATTTCTTGAAAGTTGTAAAGAGGGAGTGCAACACTGCCAAAAGTCCTCAGATGCTCCTCTCTTTCTCTATGCCCTCTCTACCCGATCTGGGATAATGGCACGACCTGGAAGCATGGTGTTATGCTGACAGCTGCTTAATCCTGTAACTGTATTCCTCTGTGCAGTCTTTGTGTGGAAGTGAGGGCAAGGCGCTCAATGTACTGGAGACAACATGGCCTACTCGAGCATACAGTGGCTTTGTTTGATTAGCTGCTCTCAGGATGCATAGTTGGTGCTGCATTGGGGGGTATTTGTGCAACTGTGCCATTGTTTGTTCACTAGCTAATGGCGTGTTGTGTTTATTTGAATGATAATTGAGTCAAATTGGCTGAGTTGTTGTGTATGTGCTCAGCTGGCTCACCCGGCTGCCTTGCTCAGCTGGGTGGAACCTCGCCTACTGTTCCTCTTGGCCTCCATAGCAGTCTGGAAGAAGAGGGTGGTGATCTTATCTGCAAACACACAAACATACAAAAGTAAGGTTACAGCAGGTGAATGGATCATTTGCATAGCATTAAAAACTGGTGTCTGCCAGCATTGTTCATCTTATAGGTTATTATTGTCAACATGGTAATAATACCAATTTGGAAAAATATACACTGATGCCTGGTTGAATTATCAAAATAAACTTGAATAGTTTAATTGATTTCTGATGCAAGTGACCAAATTCTTATTAGTGCTTATTTTTTTATCTGTATACTGTTGACAGGTATTTAAAAGCTAATTATTAAAACAAAGTATATTTAAAATATAAATTCTTCAGTTTTATCTAATTTTCTGTCAGTTACCTCTTTTACTATTGTGGTTTTTCTTCTTACTTGTGCCACAATGCATTTAGTTGTTTTGGTTCACCTCCATTTAGTTCACAAGGACAACATAAAAGTAATACAAACTCATTTTTCTTGAAAAACTTTCTTAAAAAAAATAGATATTGGTAATGAGAAAGATATTTAATTATTCAACTTTTTTTTCCACGTAATTGACAAAAAAATATTTAAGGGCATGGTTTGAAGTGGTTTCTGGAGAATGATGTTTGTGGTGTTAACTCATTTACTAGATACATTTTACTCGGTTATTATTGATGCAAAACATGCAAAAGAAATATTAAATCCACAAATGCAGTTTAGACTATGAAACTTAGTCCTTTCCGTCCATGTCAGTGATTAAAATGCCACTTAAAACAGTCATGGCAGGCAACATTATGGTTAGCAAAAAGTGAGATGCATTGAAAACAAACAGATCAGTCTTGCCTCTTTAGTTGACAATAAAAGTTTCCTGGTTCAGAACCGCCTGCTTTTCCCCCAAAGACATTTCGAGCATCTCCATATATGAGAATAATTCCACTTTTAGAGAAGAGCCGTCTGCAAACGATGTGCTCTGTGGTGTCTGCTTGTATGCTCTGAAGAGTCGCTTAGCACAGAATGGCCCAGTCAGCTCAGTCAGACACTCCCCTTTCTATTGTCACTGTTTCTTTAGTGGGTGGGCCAAGCCTGTGAGTATCGGTGTTTGTTGACAGGGTAGGCTGGTGTTTAATGCAGCGGAGAGAGTTGCCTCAAGGGGCACACAAAGGACAGAGAGCTACTGTATTTTTGTAAGCGCTGCGCAGGTGTATCTCTGGTCTGTTGTCTTTTTGCCTCTCAGTGGGATACAGTTAATGTTTAAAGGAAAGTTTTCAACTCACCTTGGTTGGAATCTTCATGGGCAGCACACTGTGAAAAAGAAAAACCTTTTTCAAAACATATGTACACTTTGGTCTTGTTTCTCACGTAGATAAAACCTCTACACAAAAAAAGGTGCTGCTAAGGGATCGTTGAATGATGCCAGAGAAGGACCACTTTTGTCACACTCACTTAAACATCTCATTTACAAAAATGGCTCTAAGTAACCGTCCATTGAAGGGTGTGTGTGTGTATTTATTGATTGATTGGTTGGTTGCAACTAAAAGTGGCAATTCTATGGTATTGCACAAAGAACCCATTCTGGCATCTTTTAAAAACAAAGTGTAAACTAAAAAGGCACTGCAATTTAGTCCAGGACTAGGCTTAATCCATGCCTGTGAAACTAGCCTCACATCTCCACATTAAAAAAAAATTTGAGTCCAGTGTATTTACTGCATCACATTGCGGTGAAAGCAGATCTTAGCACTGACCCATCCTTGATTGACTTGGCGATGAGGCTGCTGGCTCATTGTGCAGCCTTTTCAGTGCTGACCATCTGGAGCTCTTCTATCCGATCAGAGTGATCATTAGTTACCTGCCAGCTGTGATGCCCGAAACGTAACTGTGGCTGAAGCCCATCCACACAGAAAATGCGAATTAACCGCTTAAAAGGGCCAGTCTGTGGGCCCACACTTCAGTTCCTCACTCTCTTAAGTACATATTTTCAGACTTGCATATTAATATCAAATTCAGAAACTGCTACTGAGAATTCATCCTGTAAAGTTAAACAAGTCAAACATTATTATAAATATAGCGTTTGTCATGGAAGGACTTGTTGCTTTCAACAGCGCTTCATCAGTTAATCAGTAAGATATGTCTGATCAGTATTATTGTAGAAACATCAGTAATTCTTATTGGTGTGAACTGACAAGGGTCTACAAAGAACCAAATGTTGGAGATGGTCTTGTTTGTTTCTGTTATCACTAATGTATCACTAATGTTGCATATATATAATAATTATTTATTATTTAAATATATTATTGGGGTGGGTGACGTGTGGGGCCTCCACGCAGGTCTCTTTGGGCCAACAAATGTTCGGAAACAGGACTGGTAGTTACAGAATAAATTAGTCTAAAAATTAATAATGGGATGATATGTTGGTAATTGAGGTATAGTGATTTTAAAAGTGTGCCCTGATGTGGAAAATGACACGTATTATCTAATAGGGTTTCTAAACCCAACAAAGTGTCTTTATATCATGGTATAATTAAAATTTGTGACTTTCAGTATTTGACCATGTGGTGCACTTTGTAGTTCTACAATTACAGACTGTTGTTCATCTGTTTCTCTGCATAGTTTGTTGGCCCCCTTTCACTCTGTTCTTCAGTGGTCAGGACCCCCACAGGACCACCACAGAGCAGGTATTATTTGGGTCGTGGGTCATTCTCAGCAATGCAGTGACTCACGTGGTGGTGGTGTGTTAGTGTGTGTTGTGCTGGTACAAGTGAATCAGACACAGCAGTGCTGCAGGAGTATTTAAACACCTCAGTGTCACTGCTGGACTGAGAATAGTCCACCAACCAAAAATATCCAGCCAACAGTGTCCTGTGGGCAGCGTCCTGTGACCACTGATGAAGGGCTAGAGGATGACCAACACAAACTGTGCAGCAACAGATGAGCTATCATCCCTGTCTTTACATCTACAAGGTGGACCAACAAGGTAGGAGTGTCTAATAGAGTGGACAGTGAGTGGACACATTGTTTTAAAAACTCCAGCAGCACTGCTGTGTCTGATCCACTCGTACCAGCGTAACACACACTAACACACCATCACCACGTCAGTGTCACTGCAGCACTGAGAATGATCCACCACCCAGATGACACCTGCTCTTTGAGGGCCCTTTGGGGGATCGAGATCGAGAGACTGTAGCGTTTTCCTTTTTTATTTGAAATGTGATAAACATTCCTGACTCAGGTTCAGCTGAACAGGATAATGCTAGATAGTTTGCACTGTTTATATGTTATGTACACTGAGCTCATTTCTGGCAGTTATGACAAAACTCACACCTGAGGAAGAATTTCAACTGCCCGCTTCTAAATGAAATGCTGCTACGTGGAGTGCGAACGGTGATTTGTGTTGCTGACATTAATTAAGGCATGAATCTGGTGCAAGCACCTCACCTTCACCGCGGCAAGTGTAGGAGGAGAACAGCTGTGGGAATTGCCAGGGCAGTCTGCAGGGAAATAAAACTGTGGCTCCACTTCTGTCGGCACTGTTTTTCAAAACACAAAGGATAGAATGAGTCAGCAAGTAAAAGAAAACAAGAGCCTCTAGAGCAATCTTCCTGGACTTTACACATGAACGGGAACTGTTTCTCACCTGGTTGTGATTTCAAAATAATCTGGAGCAACTCATCTTTAATAGGGCTCCTTATATGAGAGATGTAGTGAAGAGCGATGTAGCCATTTTGGTCCTGGACCTCTAGGCTCCTGGAGAACAGAGTAGTTGTCATTTATACCCATCCGTCATGTTTACTGTGTATTTTTCTTTTGTGAACCTGAAAGCAATTAAGTTTGGTGAATAATCGAACTCAGTTGATCAGCCAAGAGTTGTTTGGTGTCTGAACTGAGGCCTTGATGCTAATGTAGCTAACAACTAATGGAAAATTATACCAATTAGCATCATGTAAACAGCATCATGTAAACTGCATCACCACATACTTTCCCCAAACCATGTCCAGTTATTAAGCAAATCTATTTGAAATTACTTATGTGATTGTTGACTCTGTATGATGTGCTGTTATCTATAAAAATGGACAAAAGTGTGTCACATAGCTAAAACAGTAGTAGCAGCCATTTTGAAGCCTGAAGTTCATCATACAACATCGGAGGCCATTAAAAAAATAATAATAATAATCTTGAACACACATGCTTCAGCCCATGTGAGTATTAAGCCATCAAAAACTGATGTGCAGTCTCTGTCTTGCCAGAATGAAAATTAGATTTACTGATCGAGGACATTTCTCAGCATTCCACTCTTGGTTCTTATTTGCTTTACTCCTGAATGTGCAACCATGGAATGCTGGTTTTTGGCTGGTTCACCAAATGAACAAATGATTGGATGGTTCTGCTAACTCAGTTATGCTTGCTATTTTAGCTTCCGCTTTGTTGTTAGCTTTCTCTAGGTAAGTTTCTCTGAACAGAGAAGGAAACTGGTGGGGAAAACAGGTTTGTTTAAGTTAAATCAGCCTTGTGATTGGTAAGGATACTGCTTAGGGATACACTACCAAAGCTGAGGACCACTCAGTTTAAATTGAAAAAGAGAATGTTTGTTTGCAAAATACACTGGCTATTTATTGGGCATTGGAAACCAGACATACTTTGTACTTGTATATTGTGTGCACACAAGGGCAGAATTAACCTACTTTTATGGCATGTTCAGAATTTCTGACTTGCAGCAACAAAAAAAATCAAAGAAAACATCATATGAACTGAGAATTCTTATTTGGAAAGCCGACGGTATAATTTTAATGAGATTTTTTTTTTATCCATCAACATACAGACACTGTAGTTGGTTAAAACTATAACATTGATTGCGAAATATGCTATTTTAAAAAGGTATCATAAACATTAAAGTTACCACTTCAATATCACTAAAGTTAGCTGGCTAGCTTGTTGCTGACATTACTAATTTTCCCGGAGGTTTCTATGTTTTCCATGTAAGTGTGAGCACGGCAGTTTAGTCATACATGGCATAAATCCCATTTACTTATCAGCAAATTTCTGTCTGTTTTTATTAAATATCAGATAACTGTAGATGCTTAAAGCGACGGGTGAGTGAAAAATGATGTAGTTTACCTCAAATGTAATCAGTCAAATTTGCTTCTTTAGTTTTGCACTGGAGCTATGAGGATAATTTAGCTAACAAGCAATAAAACTTTAGAACCTGTCAGCAATGTGCATGATAACTAAGACTTTAAAACTATTTAAACCTATGTAACTTGTAATTTTGTAATCTCTGCACAAGTGCATGATTATTTAGGCAAGCACTTTTAACAATGATATTTGCTGCGGTCTAAGCTTCCATCGTTAGCTACATTAGCATTGTAGCTCTGGTGCAAAACTAAAAAAGCAAACTTTGAAAACTAAACATGACTTGGCGGACTAATTATATTTGGGGTAAGTAAAACTGAAAATTTTGTTTAAATGTTGTTTGGTTTGGAGTAGCTGTTGCTTTAACACAGAGGTGCTCAATTCTGGACCTGGAAATCTGCCGCTCTGGAGTTTAGGTCCAACCTAAATCCTAGCCCACCTGATCCAAGTAATGAAGGCCTTCAGGGGCATTTGATCTAAATGTTCTAGTGTAAATCTCCAGGACCAGGATTGAGAACACCGCTTTAAAACAATAAAAGGTTGATTTCCTTACGCAGACAGAGCCAGCAGTGCCTTCACTATTTCAGCTGGACGGTAGTCCCATGGCATAATATCCTGCAACCCTTCAAACAGGTCCACATCCCTCGCTGCTAGCATCAGTGGGGTCAGCCCATTCCGGTTCTGGCTGTTCACATCCACCAAGTCTGTCAGGGTCTAAAACACAGTGTATAGCATCATTGGTTGAAACTTATATCTTCAAAACAGTAATTTCCTAGGAGAAACTAAATTCAAAGAGGTAAAGGGAGAATGAAAAATGTTGATGTAAAAATAATGAAATAATGAAAACCATAAAAGTCTACATATGCTAAAACTTGGAACTTGGGCCACTTCTGCTGGTCTTTTTTTTTTGTCATGAAATGTTCACTGGCACTGGAATATCCTGTCTTTTCTGTTCTAACATCCCCACCTGTGCAAGATAGGGAGCTTTTCCCTGAAACGCAATCGCATTGCCAGAAGAATAAGTCCTACTCCCAGTCTGTCTGAGTGTCCGGACTTCATTGTATGATGGCTTAGAAAAGCGTCTGACAGCAGTGTCGAATTTCCTACCTGTCACTGTCTGGCCCGCTTACCAGCAGGTGCTGTAGGGTGCTCATGTCCCCCCTCCAGGCGGCCTCCGAAAGTTGGCCTTGGTGGCATAAACGACTCTCTAGAGCCGCCAACAACTCCCCCTGCAGGTCTGGTGGACTGACATGAAGAGCAGTCTGGTTGTTATGGTTACACAGTGTTGCATCTGCTCCCCTTTCCAGGAGGAACCGCATGACCTGCATTCATAACAGCAATATGAGAACAGGGAAGAGCAACACTGACATAACTTCTTTTGTGGCCTTGGAGAGACTTTGATAAACAATGACAGACTTTTCAACAACACAGGATTTGGGAGCAATACTTAGATCTCAAAAAAACCCCCTGAAATTTATAGTTTTTTAAGATCTGATATAGGTTATAAACATAGAACAAACAAGGGTTCGGGATCTTCACTGAATGTTAAAGTCAACATGAAATGCTAGCTGACTGTTTTGAAGCGATGATAGGTTGGACTGAATGAAAAGGGATAGTGATTATTGGTTAATTGTGTTTTTCCCCACCCGCTGGTGCATGGTGATGTAATCAAATATCAGAAGGCATTTTCAAGGTCAGCAAAAGTCACTATACTTTGATGAAAGGTTTTGGGAAAACAAGGGTCCCATTGCATCACACCTACATTACGCTAGTGGCTGCTTGCTGCGCAAGGTGGGACTTTACAATTATAACACACTCACCCTTGGCAGGTTAGCCTGAGTGAGCTAATTGGCTAGCCATTCAAACTGATTTTTTTTTTTAAGAACATGCTGTACATAAATTCATGAATTATTGCTTTGTCTGGCTATAAACTGGGGGGTAGTGCCTTTCATTTCATTGTTGCTAGCTTTTTAGCCTTAGCTTACTAACTAGTCAACTAGTATGTATGTATGTAGTAAGTATGTGTGGCAAAAGATGGTGCATCAGCAGTCAAGTATATGGAATAATTTGCACCGAAAATCCAGTAAAAAAAAGTTCGTTTTAAAATATTAAGTATTTTAAAGTAGTTTATGGCTTATAAACAGCTTTGTCCCACAAGTTTGTGTTTGAACAGAGAAATGCATCACATCACAATGAGTTCAGGGTAAGTTCTGCTGGAGTCAACACTTGTGTTAGCTTGGTCCCTCGCCGCAGCGAGAGCTCATCTAACTACAAGTCACTTGAACTAATAAAGTAATGGAAAGGCTCTTAAGATGACGTTGGGGATTCCCCCAAGCGGAAATGATGAGGCCAAGTGGCTGAATTAAGGCATGCTAAAAATAGTACAACTAAGCACATGAACTAACAAGGTAAAAACTTTTAGGTTGACTTTTAATAAGTTTTACTGCAATCAACTAAAACTGTTCAATATAATAAACTGGTATCAAAAAGCAAAGTGTTTGGTTCTTATTTGATTCATACTACTGTGTCTGAAGTATCACAGACTTAACCCAATCAGTCATGTGGTTTTAGGGTCACACAGAGAGCCATCGGTTCCACAGGATCCTACACGCTAGCAGGAAATCATGTGCTTGCTTCGAATATCATGCTTAAGAGACTTCATTAAATAAACAAGTGATGAAATCTGACTCATAATTAGGCCAAACGAGGTGACTGTCTACACACTTGTTTTTCATACGGGAACTCTAGCTGTGGCACTCCATGGACCAATTCATTAGGCCTTTCACATTTGTAAACAAAGCATGGAATTGTGGGCAATCCCCAAGGCCTCCTACAAATGAGCTTAAAGGGCCCACATCCATTTTTTTTGTTAGTAAGAGTTTGATGTGATATATAAACACTGTTGAAGTTTCAAACATAGCCGATACAGTCCAAATATAAGCAGCCTGTTTTTGAGGTGTCATGAAAAGTAACGTACACATATATCCACGTATTCATGTTAAAGTCATAAGGAGTGTTTCAGCCAGAACTGCTGTTTAAATGAGGCCCAGTACAGAGCAGCCAATCAGATGGAGGTCATTTTTGTTCTGTTTAATTATACGATAAAGATAAAGAAAGGCTGGAAAATGATCTTGTAAAACATAAACTACTATTATATCAATAATATCATAAATGGACTTCAGGAAAAAAATGTATTACAAGAAAAATGGGCTCTTTTAGAAGAATGAGGAATAATGTGATGTAATAAAATAATCAGCTGTCCAAAATTAAGTTTAAATTCTGTTTCATCAAGCAATGATTTTAAGCAACATCCCAAACATTTTTAGTCTGGATAAACTTGATAAGCATGACAGCACGGGCAGTTCTGATAGCCGATGTATCAGAACTGGTAGTTTGTGTTCTGTTACAAGAGCAGGAAGTCCAGTCTTATCCACAAAGGGCTGGTGTGGCTGCAGGTTTTCATTCCAAACAAGCAAAACACACTTGATTCTACTCGCTTAATCAATTGGTCAGTCTTCAAAGAACTGATCCTGCTTTTTGGAATGAAAACCTGCAACCACACCGGTCTTTTGCAGATAAGACTGGACACCCCTGTCCAAGAGTGTTGAGCAGTTATTTTAGAAATTAATATATACAATTCCTGAATAATAAAATAATCCAGCTCTTTCCCCACGTTGCTCAGCCAAACTGCTGAAGTTAAACACTCTGAATAGTACACATTGAAACATGCTGTGATGTGACCTGTTCAAAGTCACATCAAAGGAGAAAGGTCACTCTAAAAAATTCCATTCCCTCACCTTCAGATTACTCATTGACTCACAATACAACTCAGTAGGAACAAGCACTTGTTAGCAAACATGAAATTAGTTGGCAAAACAGCAAGGAAACAGTTTCTTACTTTTCAATAAAGCTAAATCCAAGCAGCAAATAACACTTACTATTTAGTTGCTCTGTGTTCTACTTACCACAATGACTAAAGATAACAAATTAGTAACATAAAAGTCAATGATCATGAGCTGATTTATACTGAATATTTAAGTGCAATAAACCTGTCCCACTTTTCCTTTATTTAAGTGCTTTAGTACCACCAGAATCCCCTCAGTGTCAGCTTACTGTAGTGAGGCCCATCTGGCAAGCGCTGATAAGAAGAGTGGAACCATCAGAGTTGTGAGGCAGGTCCAGCTCGTCCCAGGAGAAAAGTCCCTGCTCCAGCCCCAGAGTCACTGCCCCCAGCTCCCCCTCCAACAGCAGCTCCGCTAATCCCCTTCTGTGCTCCTCCATGACCTACCCAGAGGATACGTATACATATTAGAGGTATGGAAATATATTTTTACATATGTAAGTGTATAAAGGGCCTTCCCAAAACTGTTCCCACAAAGTTAGAAGCAATACAATTGTCCAAAATGTTTTAAAGATTGAAGATTGAAAGAATAAAGATTTCCGTTCACTTGAACTAAGGAGCCTAGCCAACCCCTGAAAAACAACCCCATAGCATTATCCGTCCTCCACCAAACTTTACAACTTGCACAATGCAGTCAGGCAGGTAACGTTCTCCTGGCATTCGCCAAACCCAGCTTCGTCCATCAGACTGCCAGATAGAGAAATGTGATTCGTTACTCCACAGAATACATTTCCACTGCTCCAGAGTCTAGTGGTGGCAACATGCTTTATACCACTCCATCCAACACTTGGCATTATGCTTGGTGATGTAAGGCTTGCATGCAACTGCTCAGCCATGGAAACCCATGCCATGAAGCTTCCAGCGCACTGTTTTGTGCTGATGTTAATGCCAGAAGAGGTTTGGAACTCTGCAGTTATTGAGTCAGCAGAGCGTTAGCAACTATTATGCGCTATGTGCCTCACCGACCCCGCTCTGTAACTTTACGTGGTCTGACACCATGGCTGTTCCTAAACACTTCCACTTTTCAATAATACCACCCACAATTGATTGTGGAATATCTAGGAGGGAAGAAATTTCACAAACTGACTTGTTGCAAGTACTACTACAGTACTACGCTCAACAGCAGGGTTAAAATTACGAAACAGAAAATAGTCCAATCAAAATATTTTGTTGTCCGTGGGAAGGACAGAGAAACCAACCAGTTACATTTTGATTTACAATGGGTGGGACAATTTTGTGTCATTCTAGGCCCTCTGGAAGTTCTAGATACATCACGGACTATGAATAAGAGTCGTAGTCTAAGGTGGTTTAGGTTAATTGGTTAGTTTTTAGGAATGGAAAATGGCAGCTCTGTGCCAGATCTTTTTACTTAAAGAGTCACTGTAACACTGATCCATACAAGCTCAAACATATGTTAATGTCTGTTACAATCTTCAAATTTCTGTTTAATCTTAAAGAGCCAACAAATGTTACTGTACAGCGTTAGCTTAGTGCTAACTTACTATTAGAAATCTAGTTCAAAATTAGCATTATCGCAGATCTTTTTTCTTTTCAATTATTTGACAATTAAGGATCAAAAAGAGAAAAAATGAATTAATGCATCCTGATGGATCTGATTTATTCAAGTGAGACAACACTTACACATAGTTTTTAACTTTTGGCATTTTAGAATTCACAATTTTTCATGCTCTCGGTCCATATTAATCACTATCATTAACCACCTCATGGGTCACATTTGTAAACAAGGCACCCCATTGACTTCCTTTAAGTTCATAATGAGCTTCTCTTGAAATTAGCTTAAAAACACATTCCTTGTGGAAGAACATGAGAAACGTTTAATCTATTTTCAAATAATAACCATCAGCTCTTTGCCTTTGGCTGCTCACACCTTCTCAATTGTCAAATGTAGAATTGAAAAAAGTGTCATTTCTATTGTTTCTATTCCACTAATGTTCTCCAGTCATATTTGTGTGTTCAGAGTATTTTTTAAAATATTTAGATCAATATGATTCAAAGCGAATTGTGGTGAAATTTGCTGTGAGATGATATTGTTATTCAGCTGTTAGTTGCTCTGCTATAACATGCTTTGCTGTGTTGACTGCATGTAACCTACAAATCGTGCCCAAGCAAAGAAGATCTAGGCTGTATGTCCAGAGGCTTGTAGACACCAGCTCATCCAGCATTTTTTCTGAAATGAAGGGTATTAATAGGGAGTTTGGAACATTGATGTGAGGATTTGATTGCATTTGGCCACAAGAGCATTAGTGAGGTCAGGTACTGATGTTGGATGATCAGTTCTGGATCACTCCAGCTTATCCCAGAGGTATTGGATTGGAGCTCCGTCACTCCAGAGAATGCTGTTCCACTGCTCCACAGCCCCACAGCCCATGCTGGGTGGCTTTTTATCTCTCTAGCTCAGACTTGCATTGGGCATGGTGAGCTTAGAGTCTTACGCAGCTGCTCCAGTGTCCCATTCTATTGGTCAAAGCTTTTCTACGGAGATTTTACAATCTGGGCACAAATGAACACCTGCATCAGCAATGGATACACCTTTAAGTAGCTGAATTTAGCATTACGAAAGGCTGTGTGGATACTTTTAGACATATACCTTGGTCAAGATGGAAGATTGTTTGTATATCAGTTTGATCTTGATAAGAGAAATCTAAATTTCAGTAAAGCACTGGCTTTGACTTTATGCTTCAATTCACAGGGTAGCAAGTCAGCAATTAACATTCTTCTGGATTAATAAGTGACTCTGACAAATACAACAGCACTCCACAGACACAACAAAAACTATAACTCTGACCTATTTGTAGCAAAATATCTGATTACTGGACCCCAAAAATGAATTTATATTAAATGCAAAATATCCATTGTATAGTGAAAGTATCACTTACCCCAGTCTCATGTAAGCCTCTGCCTTCTTCTTCAGGATGTAATAATAATGAATTTCAAAACAACAAACACAACAAACTCATGGAGCCCGTTTGTGACAGTAGCCTACATGACCTTTTGCAGATTTTTAAACGTTATTAGTCTTCATTGCTCCCCTGTGCCTCCCTCGCCCTGCATAGAGCAGCTCTGAGTTTACAGCCTGTTGCTTAGGAGACCAACAGTGAAGGCGAACACTGATCTTTGTTTCAGTCTGATAAGCACCAATGTGTGCAGAGAGAAGAGGGAGTTTTCTGTCTCGAGCCGAATTGAAGAGCACAACATTACCTCACTGAAAGGGCGGATTTCTCTAATAATTTCAGTGTTAAAATCAAGCTAATAAAGAACAAACACAGTTTTACCAGGGGTTGGTTCATTGTAAAAATGGTTAATTGTAAAAAAAACTTGCAGACGAGGATTTCTTTACAGTGGTGGTGATAGGAACCAGACGTCGCAATGTCTACAAAACAAATCTAGCTTTTTTCTTTACTGTCCAAAACCACCACTGAACCTTTACATCTTTGAGGTTTCCTTTGTAACATGACGATAATCAAGGTGCCTTTTTCACTGTCATTGTGCTTTTTCCATGGCCATTGTCCTTATTTCATTGCTGTTGTCTTACTTCTTTTTTTGTTGTCCTTAGCTCACATTAGTTGTCCTTTTTCCATTGCCTTTGTCCTTTTTACATTGCCATTGTCCTTCTTCCATTGCCACTGTTCTTTTTCCATTGCCACTGTTCTTTTTCCATTGCCACTGTTCTTTTTCAATGTCATGGTCCTTTTTCCATGTCCCTAATAATTTGTCACTTTTCTTTATCTGGTAGTCTGTGGTCAAATAGAAAGGTGTTTTTAGCTGTTGTTTTGTTATTTTTTGTTGTTGTTTTTGTGAAGTCCCCTTGACTGCCATTCAGAACCTAAAAACCAAGATTTGCATTAGGCAGTGTCAGAAACACATCTGAAGCTTAGAAATCTTGAGATTTCTATTCTAAATATTAATTTCCAGTTTACTTATGGTGTTTGTGTGCAACACAGTATCTCCTCAATTCTCACGAGATGTTTTAGGCTTACTACTTCTTCTCCTAGCCTCCCTGGCTAACCTGATTCTAGGCCTGGGTGGTGCACTGTGCAGAGTGACAGGAATGGATGGGAGAGAGATGCTTAACCACTAAATTTCAGAAGGACTACCAGTGAAAGGGTGGGATGTAGCTATAACATGAAAAATACACTATTATACACTTACACATTTAGGGACATCTGGCCTCTATTGAATATTATACAGCTTTTGCCCTGCATATTCCTACATATTCATATTTCGGTTCCTCTGTACTTAGTTACCAGGTCAAAGGAATGCCTCGTTTACCTGGATGCTCCCATTTATCTTAATGGATAGACCTTGGATAGACCGTCTTTGAAGTCCAGAAAACCTGCAGCAACGTCCAGTTCCTCATCAAAGTGAAGGTACCCACAAACCATCCTGAACAGCAGGACACCAAGTGACCAAACTGTTGCAGGACCAGCGTGATACCTCTCCTCTAGAAGAAACTCAGGAGGGCAGTAATCAAGCATGCCGAGAACGTATAAAGGGAGAACACAGCTGAGCACAATAACTTATTTAACAGCTAGGTGGCTATAGGACACGATTCTCCTCTCAGCAGATGTGTTTTTAGATGTGAAACCTTTAGCTGAAGATTCTCCACAAGAAGGAGTTATTGGCATTCAAATTTTACCTGGGTATGCTGTAGAGATATTGGTCAGTTGGCTGTTTTCAGACAAATTTGATGGCCACCTACACACAAAGTCAAAAGATATTAGGATTACTAACAATGAAAAGGGAGAAGAGGATATAATGCCCATTAAAATAAAATCTGAGGTGCGAACAGAACCTGTAGGCCATTGGAAATGAGTCTTCCCTCAAAGACCCAAAGCCTCCTTCACAGAGTTTTTAATCACATAGCGGGAGGAATAGAAAAATAGTTCTCTTAGAAAGAAGTGAAATTAAATGTTCACGGTCTGCAGTGGTCTGGACAGTGAACTGACCCGGCTCTGTGGCTTTCCTCTGTCTCCGAGTCATTTTCTTGGGCCCGTTCACTGCCCCCTTCCTCTTCTTCCCTGCCGGAGCTACAGTATTGGGAACCTTGCTTGTTCACTCTTCAGCGCTCCGGCTGCATCCTTACTCAGCTCTCTTCCTCTTTCCTCAAGGAGCATCTGAGTATAGGATGATCATTTGAATAGTTGATGTTACTTACAACTTGACCCACCACTGGACCTGCCAGTGGACCCACCACTGGAGTGACCAGATCAGAATTGATCAGTTGCAGGACAGCAAAAGCATCTGCGATATGGCTGTTAGGATCATGAAATTTCAGCAGACAGTTAACCGTCATATAAATTATTGTGATTTTACAATTTAATTGTTTTTTCTTGTTTATTGTTTGCAACTTTCTTTAAATACAAACTTGATACAAACATGATGCCTGAGCACATATGTGCAAATACTGAATGTAAAGATTAACCTACCTCAATCAGCATCAAACTTTACAGGTCAATACCAAAGGATGACTGTAGACCGCTGAGCAGGAAAGAAGAAAGAGGAATTTTTAAATTTAGGCGTGTCCGTTTTATATGTCCGGTCTAAGCCTGTGCCCGGTACCAGTTAACCGAGTTACCGCAATAACAACCCATAGTGACGCTAAAAACTCGCTCTTGATTTATTTCATGCAAACCACAGCATTAAATAATATTCACGTGAACATGACTGAGCTGCTATCTTCTATATTACTGGATTAATTACACTTTCGTGGCCAAATTAAAGATGAGAAACACAACAACAAACCCAACGTTTACTAAACTGTGCTATTCTTTTAATCTTTTCTTTTTCTTTTTTATGAAATTCTTTTATTTTTGCCAAAAGGTTCAACTCACGCTGTGTTCGCCCGTGTCTGCTTCACAGTCAGGAACCGTCTCAAAATTACAAGACGAATAAGTAAAGCACTTATTATTATTATTATTAGTAGTAGTAGTAGTTGTAGTAGTAGTAGTAGTAGTAGTAGTAGTAGGTGTAGTATCTCTGTCAATACACCTGATGATGCTTCTGAACATATCAGCAAATATACATACAGAGACAATACTAATAATCCTAATAATGGGAGCAGCGACACTGTCATTTAGTAGTTATGGACCCTGAGTGCGAAGCGGCCGCGGGAGCAGCACTGTGATACAGGTTTTAACTGTTTAGGAGGGTTATTTTCCACATTTTTAACCAAATAAGAGGATTCTTTTACTGTAATCTGACTCTTATGTTATTTCAGCAGTTTCAAGAAAAAAAAATAATTAAAAGTAACTTCGCCATTTCTTTAGCATTTGTGTTACTGTAGATTTTACTTTTTTTTTTAAGTAATAAACAGTAAAAGTCCAACACTATAAAACACATAAAAAATAAGATGGTTAAAGTTATGCTTGCACTGACTAACACAGCTTAGCTAACTAGCTGGCTCCACACACCACAATACAGATTGTAGATTCCAACTGATGGATGTTTTTTACATCAGTCACTCAAATTCACTTCTCTCATTTCTCTACACTTGTTAGAACTTTCCTAAAACAGGCAGAAATATTTAAACTGACCTATGGATGTGGCCCAGATTTGGCCCATATACTGTACAGTGTGCAAGACAGTGTGCATCATATGTGCTTCCTCAGAGAGATTTGCTCAAACCAACTAACAATGCCAGCTGAAGCTTAGATCAAAAAGCACATTTGTTTTAAAAGACAGATTCATGTTAATGGAAAATGAGCAACATTGCTAAATGCTGAATATGTGTACTATGGTGACGCCTGGCTTTGCATTTGGAGCTGATCAGTTAAAATTAGACCTGATGTAGCAACACCGGCAGATGGTGGTTAATAAGCGGTTCAATAAGTGAGAAATAGTCAGAAATTATTCAAAATCATTCAGGTGCTGAATAAAGAGCATAGGATGCAGAGTAAATCTGATGAGACTACAAGATAAGATTACTCCTCATTGCACCTTTAGGTCAGGTTTTTTATTATTCTTACAGTATTTGACCGATTTGGACATTCAATCCATGCAGAAAGGAAACCGATGTGTAAACAGATGTTGATGTACTCATTCATTTGAACATTACAGGGTAGGTAATGTAGATGGTGAGAGGATCAGTGTGGTTTTGGTTTTAACGCTTTGGCGCCACCTGGTAGATCGTAATGATAAACACACAGTTGATCAGCTCAGCAGCGTCCACCAAACATTATAAGCACAATATTTTTGAGAGAAAACACTGCATTATTGTGAATATAAAACATATCAAAACAGTCTTCCACAAAGAAGCGAGGCTGTCTGAAACCTACACTGAGAGTGTGTGAGCCCAAAGTTTTAAATAATTTCAAGAGAAATCTCGTCACTGACACACAAACTCACAGATTTCTGTAGAGCTACAAAGTGTAGAATATTCACTTTTCAGTTTTTAATGAACATTAATCAACAGAATATTTCTGTTGTTTTCTATGCTGTGCTGTTTATTATGTTAATTACAGTAACACATTCATAATACTGAATGAAAATTGAATTAAAACACTTTTCAAGTTTTCTTTCTCTGAAGTTCTTTACTCTTCTGTGGGAGGAATAGGTTTTACAAAACACACATCTTGTTTGAAATCTTTTATTTTTGTTCAGGGCAGAATAACTAAACATAATAAATGAGAGTTGGTTCTTTAAAATTGATCATTGACTGAGGTTTATTGAATGACGTCACAATAAAGTTCGGTGGTGACGTCACACTCTGTGCTACATAAAAGCACCTCTCACTTCCATATTTGGTACTTTATGTATTTGACAACAGAGGATTCACTGCTGTACGAGCAGTGAATGAGAAACAACACTTACTGTAAGTTCTTTTTTCATTTATTAACTTATCACTATTATTATGTTTGTAAATGATTAACCGACAAATAAACAATTGTTGGACTGATCGGTTTAAAAACACATTAATGTAAATTAATTTAATTTCCGTTTGAATCGGCGGGTTTTACATTCAGGTTGAGGAGCGTGTTTAAACCGTCCGCTTGGGGGCGCAACAGGCAACTGGTTCCGCTACACTCTTTAAAAAAGATGGTTCTTTAAATGTTCTTTAGTAACAGGCCCGTTGGACTCTCTTAGCGGCGTCTA